CGCCTCCCGGGTTCACGCCATTCTCCTGCCTCAGCCTCCTGAGTAGCTGGGACTACAGGCGCCCGCCACCTCGCCCGGCTAGATTTTTGTATTTTTTTTTAGTAGAGACGGAGTTTCACCGTGTTAACCAGGATGGTCTCGATCTTCTGACCTCGTGATCCGCCCGCCTCGGCCTCCCAAAGTGCTGGGATTACAGGCTTGAACCACCGCGCTCGGCCCAAGTGCCAGGTTCTTACGGGCTGGTCAAGAGTATTCTTAGTCCAGTCGCTTTATGAAGAGGCAGGCCCAGGGAAACAAAATCCAACTCAACTGAAATGTGCTGTGGGAATCGGCTTTTAGTCCTCAGTTTTCTACTCGGTAAAATGGGAAAAATAAGGAACTACATCACAGGTGGTTGTGGGTATTAAATGAAACATGCAGAAAGCTTAGACATTAACCCAATTAATTGAGACAATGCTCAATTAACTGTTAGCAGTGATGAGTACCCCACCCCTTGATTATCATAAATTGCCATAACAAACACACTAATTCATTTATTCAAAAATATATATTGAGTGCTTTTCCTTTTTCATTTTTCCCTCTCTTACGCTGCTGATATTGAGTGTTTTCTATGTGCCAAGCACCATTGTAGAATCTGAGATAATAGCAGGGAACAAAGATCCCTGCCTTCCAATGGGAGCAGATAAAAAACAAGTCAAATATGTGTTATGATACGTAGGTGATAAGTGCTATGGAGATAATAAAGCAGATAAAGGATAACAAATCAGAGCAGGAGCAGGGATGGAAGTTTTTAATAGGGTGGTACAAGAAAGCCATCACTAAAAACCCACTGGAGGGATCGGAGCAGACAAGTGATATGACCTGACTCATTTTTAAAAGGTACACTCTGATGGGAGACTATATTATAGATTTTGAGGGACAAGGAAAAGAAAGAAGGCCTGTTAGAGAACTATTGCAGTAATCCAGATGGCTCTACTAATGGATAATTACAAGGTTCTGAGGCAGAGCAGCTGTCAACATGGAAATGTTCCCCTGCACCACCAGCCCCCCCGCCTTTTTTTTTTCTTTCTCTTTCCTTTTTTTTTTTTTTTTTTTTTTTTTTGAGACAGAGTCTAGCTCTGTTGCTCAGGCTGGAGTACACTGGCACAATCTGAGCTTACTGCAACCTCTGCCTCCGGGGTTCACGCGATTCTCCTGCCTCAGCTTCCCGATTAGCTGGAGATTACTGGCCCACTCCACCACACCCAGCTAATTTTTGTATTTTTTAGCAGAGACGGGGTTTCACCATGTTGGCCAGGCTGGTCTCAAACTCCTGATCTCAGGTGATCCTCCCTCCTCGTCCTCCCAAAGTGCTGGTATTACAAGCGTAAGCCCTGCGCCCAGCCTACATTTGATATTTCTAATAGTTGAAAATCCTAAGTTTCAGAGATATGTTTAAGAAAGTAGCAAAATACCAAGGCCAATAATTTAGTCATTTTTTTTTAACTCTGGAATCAGACTGTCTGCATTTGATAGTGGCCCTATCAGTATTCAGCCACTAGATACAACTAGAGTAAATTACTTACTTTGTTTCCAGTTTCTTCTTCTGTCATAGGATCTACTCAGAGGATTGCTCCAAGGCTTAAATGACCTCACACCTGCAAAGCCCTTAGAATAGTGTTTGACAACTAAGTATTTACTATATGTTAGCCATTATCTTTCAGTCCCTTGTCATTACTTGGGTCTAGGCAAAACTCACACGTTGCAGAAAACACACCATCTCTCTTGAGGCAAGTCATAGCTAGTGGTGCTCTTGTCACAGTTTCTTCTGATAGATATCACTGAAATAGTAATTTAACCTCACTTGCAGAAATAAGCTAGTGAGCAGCTGGGTGCAGTGGCTCACGCCTGTAATCCAGCACTTTGGGAGGCCAAGGCAGGTGGATCACCTGAAGTCAGGAGTTAGAAACCAGCCTGGTTGGCCGGGCGCAGTGGCTCACGCCTGTAATCCCAGCACTTTGGGAGGCCGAGTCGGGCGGATCACGAGGTTAGGAGATCGAGACCATCCTGGCTAACACGGTGAAACCCCGTCTCTACTAAAAATACAAAAAGTAGCCGGGGCGTGTTCGGGAGGCTGAGGCGGGAGAATGGCATGAACTCAGGAGGCGGAGCTTGCAGTGAGCTGAGATCGCGCCACTGCACTCCAGCCTGGGTGACAGAGCGAGACTCCGTCTCAAAAAAAAACAAAAAACAAAAAACCGAAACCTGCCTGGCCAACATGGTGAAACCCTGTCTCTACTAAAAATACAAAAATTAGCTGGGTGTGGTGGTGGGCACCTGTAATCGCAGCTACTAGGGAGGCTGAGGCAGGAGAATTGCTTGAACCTGCGAGGCGGAGGTTGCAATGAGCCAAGAGCCAAGATCGCACCATTGGACTGCAGCCTGGGCGACAAGAGTGACTCAAAAAAAAAAAAGAGTGACCATCTCCAAAAAAAAAAAAAAAGGTAGTGAGCTAAATTTGATGAAACTCTTGTGAGACTTGAGGTCCCCAAGGGTGCCATGGCGTATGGGTTGGTAATCAGTATATTACAGCATGCTGCTGACAAGTAAATTCCCATTTTGGGACATTTAGGATAATGAAGACAGCGTTTAGATGATATTCTGGGACAGTGAGATACTGTATATATAAAATATCATTTGAGCACTTTGAACCAAAAGAAGAAAAAAAAAAAGAAAATAGCATTACACATTTGCAAAGCATTTTTCAGTTTAAAAGCACTTCCACACGTCTGTATTAGCCAGTTTGTAAGATGGCCATGATGATCCTTGCCTTCTGGTATTAATCCTGTTGCATAGTCTTCTCCCGCAATGAAACAGGCCGTTCTGTGTGACCAATAGTATTTGGCTGAAGCGTGATTTATGAGGCTAGAACATAAAAGGATGCTGTTGACTTGCATGCTTGGATTATTTGCTCTGGTGAAAGCCAGTCAGGTCATGAATTCACTCAGGCAACCATGTGGAAAGAAACTAAGGCCTCCTGCCAACAGCCAGCATCGGCTTGTCAGCTATGTGAGTGAGCCATCTTGGAGGTGGATCAGCCAGCCTCAGCCAAGCCTTCAGATGACTGTAGCCTCAAGTGATTTCTAATTGCAACCGCATTAGGCACTAAGTAAAAACTGCCCAGTGAAGCTGCTTCTGAATTCCTGACCCAGGGAAACCAGAGAAATTAAGAGTTTAGCCACTTAATTTTGGGGTCATTTGTTACAAATTAATAGATAATACACTAATTTGATCCTGCCTATCACACTGTGTAGTACTGGAAAGAAAAACGGAAACTCGGACAAATTAAGCAATTTGCTGATTACATATATTTAAGTGCCTAACCTCTAAATGAAAATACAGGCTATTTGACTCTAAGCCTCACCAGAAGTCTGTAATACTCTCCTTGGGAGCTCATCCTGTGACAGCAATTCCCACTGACATACCTTTTGCCATACCTATACTCACAAATTCTGTAACAGTGACAGATTTTTTTCATTCTGACTTTCATGGCAGCAGCTATAGTAAAGATTGCCTTCAGATATACATCCACAGTTCGACATTAGGATTTCTAACTGTTGGCTCACAGTATTACTCATACCACTCTTCACTACCTGAATCCAAATTTATTTCTGAAAGCAAAATCATGGCCCTGGGTTTTTTTGTTTGTTTTTTTTTTTTTTTTGAGATGGAGTTTTTCTTTTGTTGCCCAGGCTGGAGAGGCTGGCATGCAATGGCGTGATCTCGGCTCACTGCAACCTCCGCCTCCCAGGTTCAAGCAATTCTCCTGCCTCAGCCTCCTGAGTAGCTGGGATTACAGGCGCCCGCCACCACGCCCAGCTAATTTTTTGTATTTTTAGTAGAGACGGGGTTTCACCATGTTGGCTAGGCTGGTCTTGAACTCCTGATCTCAGGTGATCGGCCCGCCTCAGCCTCCCAAAGTGCTGGGATTACAGACATAAGCCACCATGCCCGGCCCGGCCCTGGGCTTTCTTTTGCTGAAATAAGAAAACTAAGGGGATGGCAGCAGGGCAGGAGCAAAGAACAGTGGTTGTTCTAAAGTAATTTTCCCAAATAATTTTTTTTTTTTTTAGAGTCTCGCTCTGCCGCCTAGGCTGGAGTGCAGTTGTGTGACCTCCACTCACTGCAACCTCCGCCTCCTGGGTTCAAGCAAGTCTCCTGCCTCAGCTTCCTGAGTAGCTGGGATTACAGGCACCTGCCACCACGCCCAGCTAATTTTTGTATTTTTAGTAGAGACGGGGTTTTCACCATGTTGGCTAGGCTCATCTTGAACTCCTGACATCAGGTGATCCGCCTGCTTCGGCCTTCCAAAGTGCTGGAATTACAGGTGTGAGCCACCGCACCCGGCAATAAATTTTTAAATAATAAAAAAAAGAAATGAATCATGTTTTTCTTTTTTTCTTTCATGGAGTCTCACTCTGTCAAACAGACTAGAATGCAGTGGCGCAATGTCGGCTCACTGCAACCTCTGCCTCCCGGGTTCAAGTGATTCACTGGCCTCAGCTTCCCTGTAGCTGGGATTACAGGTGCGTATCACCATGCCTGGCTAATTTTTGTGTTTTTAGTAGAGATGGGGTTTTACCATGTCGCCCAGGCTGGTCTTGAACTCCTGACCTCAGGTGATCAACCTGCCTTGGCCCCCCAAAGTGCTGGTATTACAAAGCGTGAGCCACTGCACCTGGCCTGAATCATGTTTTTCAATGAGTCACCAGAACAGCTTATTGCCAGCATCAAACCCCAATCCCTATCTCATATTTGTGCTGAACAACATTTACACTAGGCTACAGCAAAAAATTTATAAGAGAAGTAGATCAACTCTGTGGAGTAGTAGAAACAAGTAAAAATTAACCCACAGGTAACTGAGTAAATACAGAAACATACTCAAAACCAATTCTATTTCTTGCTCATGAGCTACCCTTAACTCTCAGGGACCACTTCTTTAAAGCATATTCTGGAAATCGTTAAAGGTATGGAAGAGAATTTATTTAGCTTTGTGAGGTTTTACTTCATAATACACATACCCTTGGCACAGGAGGGGCCCCATTAAAGTTTCATAAACTGCTTAATAAGTAAATATTTATGTTGATTTTATGAGGCTTTGAGACATTAAGTTTGAGAAAGTTAATGGTTACCAGGATTTGCATACAAGATCACAAAACAGTAAAATAAACCAAAGAACAAGACTTCCTTACAACCTCCGAAACAAAATAAATTGCAATTTCTAGTGAAATCTTTATTCCTATGCTATATTCATTTGGTCTCTTATTTTCCATTTTATACTCTTTGACTTTCTTGGAACCTTTTGTATGATCTCCTCTATCTTAATAGTATAGTCACCTATTTTAGCTTGACTATATTTTTTATCATTCAGAGTAGGATATACTTACTAAGCCAGTTACACTCCAGTAAACTTGTGAATGAAAAAACATTAGAGAACAGAGAATTAAGAACAAGTAATAGAGTCATTATTTCACTGATCCTCACCCAATTTCAGGAAAATCATGTACCTAAAACAGCAATTCTGACTGATAAATTTTCCATATCTAAAAAGAAGGAAAAGTGAAATTATAAGAATCCTATGATAGTTTACTATACATTATGTACTTTTAATAGTTCAACACTGGTAATGTTTGATAATCAAGAGTAAATTAATAGGCTAACATTTAAAAATGTATACTTTAATAAGTATAAAGTGTATAAATAATTAGGTAAGCTTGTGGAGAAGCTGACCAAGATACATAAATTAGGAAATACAAGTGTCCATCTAAATTTTCTATATTTCATTTTTTTCATAGTATTTATTAAAGGTGTTTAATATACAGTTTCTCATCTGTCGTTTTGGAAGTCCTTTATTGTAAAGACAATTCTATTGTCTGATGACAAACAGCAGCCACCATGGTTATTCAGGACCTCCACGCTGAAAAGGGAAAAATAAAGCAGTAAGATTAGATGTTAAATTGACCCAGGAAATGTTTTGATGGTAACTTTACAAATTTATACAATCTTCAGCAAGTAATCTTTTTTTTTTTTTATTTGTTTGTTTGTTTGTTTTTGAGACCGAGTCTTGCTCTGTCGCCCAGGCTGGAGTGCAGTGGCCGGATCTCATCTCACTGCAAGCTCCGCCTCCCGGGTTTACGCCATTCTCCTGCCTCAGCCTCCCGAGTAGCTGGGACTACAGGTGCCCGCCACCTCGCCCAGCTAGTTTTTTGTATTTTTTAGTAGAGACGGGGTTTCACCGTGTTAGCCAGGATGGTCTCGATCTCCTGACCTCGTGATCCGCCCGTCTCGGCCTCCCAAAGTGCTGGGATTACAGGATTGAGCCACTGCGCCCAGCCAATCTTTGGATTTTAAAAAACAGTATTGCAGACCTGGAAGGGACTCAAGGTTGACCTGTCCTTACATTTCTTGGTATCAGGAGCTCTTTACACTCTGAAAAATTATTGAGGACCCCAAAGAACTGTTTTTTTAATGTGATTATATCTATTGACATTGATATACCATGCATATTTACAGAGGAATTTGACTATGGTTTGTTTCTCGTAGTCTTGGCCTACCTGACCATCCTGTTTTAGCTCTGACCACACTCTGATATGACAATAGGAATAGCATGTAAATCAGCAAATGAAATCTCCAAAGCCCAAATGTTACGGTGTTTTGCATAGTCTTGGGACAAAGAGCAACGACTTACTTGGATAAATTCAATTTCTTCTTGAGACACAAGTTTCCTTCTGTATTTCTGAGGTAATGTTTTTATTATTTCTGCAGTATCTGGTGGACCCTGATACATCAACAAATCTGGTGATTTACTTCCCTTAGAATGTTGTGAAATTACAGAAGAGTGAGATGGTAGCCCTGCTGATCTCAAAGCTTCCGATACTGAAATTAAAAAAAAAAAAAAAAAAAAAAGACCTTATTAGAGAAATTGTTCAGATGTCAAAATACTGAGTCTTAAAATACTATCAAATAATCAAGTCATTCTTGAAATGAAGTCATTCTTCAAATAACTCTTGAAGTATTATAATTCCAAAAGGTAAATATTGTAGGGTAACTCAGTTGGCTATACATATTTCATAAAGGTTTCTAAAAACAAGTAAGGAGATAGCTTTAAAATTTTTATATATTTATTGTTTAGAGATGGGGTCTTACTTCGTTGTCCAGGCTGATCTTGAACTCCTGGGCCCAAGCAAGCATCCTGCCTCAGCCTCCTGCCATCCCACCTCAGCCTTTGAGTAGTTAGGACTATAGGCATGTGTGACTGCACCCAGCAAAGGAGCAGTTTTAAGTAAACGAATTACAAAAATGTAAAATAATGAAATTTCTAGTTAGTGGAATTCAACCCTTTAGGGGAACCTACACTACTTAAGCTTATCTCACATAACCACTCATAGGCCAACACATGGTGGAGTTTACAGGTAATATCTTACAACAAGGAATAAGAAAGTCAGTAAATGTAAATGAGGGTAGTTTTCTCAGTATCTTCACACTTGTTTATCTTAATTCTTCAATAGTTACAATAAGTTAAAAATATACCTATAAAATGTGTTGAAATTGCCTGAATTAAAGCAAGAGAAGCACAGAGGATCTGGTTTAAAAAAAAAAAAAAAAGGGTGAGAATCAGAGAAAAACAGAACCCTTTCAGAATCTTCTTCCATTAATTTCAAATAAATGCTAAGGATTAAGGCAATCCAAAAAATATTTACTGACTAGATGAATAGACAGATGAATGAATGAAAGAAAAGATGGTTGATGAGGAGAGAAACATAGGAAGGGTTATTATTTTCACAGTCTCTGCAAATGGAAGCATGGGAGAATCTTCTCAAGGATAGGAGAGAATAAAGGTAGGACAAAATTTAGCCCATATAAACTCACTAGAAATTCAGAGACATCTTCTGTTGAGTCACTACCTTTTAAAATAGGGGTAATAAAGGCCAGGTGTGTGGCTCACGCCTGTAATCCCAGCACTTTGGGAAGCCAAGGCAGGCAGATCACCTGAGATCAGGAGTTCCAGACCAGCCTAGGCAACATGGCGAAACCCTGTCTCTACTAAAAATACAAAAATTAGTCAGGCGTGCTGGTGTATGCCTGTAATCCCAGCTACTAAGGAGGTTGAAGCACAAGAATTGCTTGAACCTGGGAGGGGGAGGCTGCAGTGTGCCAAGATAGCACCACTGTACTCCAGCCTGGGAGACAGAGCAAGACCCTGTCTCAAAAAGTAAAATAAAATAGAGGTAATAATTTTTTTTTTTTTTTTTTTTTTTTTGAGACAAAGTTTTGCCCTGTAACCCAGGCTGGAGTGCAGTGGCATGATCTCGGCTCACTGCAACCTCCGCCTCCTGGGTTCAAGCAGTTCTCCGCCTCAGCCTCCCGAGTAGCTGGGACTATAGGAGCCCACCACCATGCCTGGCTAATATTTTTATATTTTTTAGTAGAGACAGGGTTTCACCATGTTGGCCAGGCTGGTCTCGAACTCCTGACCTCAGGTTATCCTCCTGCCTCAGCCTCCCAAAGTGCTCGGATTACAGGTGTGAACCACTGCGCCCGGCCATAAGTTAATTTCTACTTGCATGCTACATAGGGCACTACTTTGATCTAAGCTCCAATAGTCTTAACTGATTTTTAAATGAGAAATATTGCCTATAATAAAATACTCATTTATAAATATTCACGTACACAATTTTAAAAGAAATCTAAATAAAATACAACTTACCATTGGGTTTAGGATTGTCTCTTCTGTCAGGAAACCTTATTAATGGAGTGTGTGGTTTGACTACCTAAAGGAAAAATAATATGCATGAAAAACAATCTCATTAACTAAAAGAAATGATCTACTAAACCTCATAAATAGATACTTTTGTTAAACTTGCTATTTGACAGCAACTTTAAATTATAGTCTTCCCCAACCAGGAAAGCTGGTCTATGAATTATTAACTTGTCTATCTGGTAAACACAACTTTGTACTTTATATATAATCACAAGACTTTCATTGTACTATCGAAGGTGTACTTCAAAGCAACCCAATGGAGGAGATGATGTGGATTTTATGTTGCATGACTTATAGACTGGCAAGAATTGAAAGCTGGCTGGGCACAGTGGCTTATGCGTGTAATCCCAACACTTTGAGAGGCCCAGGCGGGCAGACTGCATGAGGTCATGAATTCAAGACCAGCCTAGCCAAGATGGCAAAACCCCATCTCTACTAAAAAAATAAAAAAAAATTAGCAGGGCGTGGTGGTGGGCGCCTGTAATCCCAGCTACTCAGGAGGCTGAAGCAGAGAATTGCTTGAACCCGGGAGGTGGAAGTTGCTGTGAGCCAAGATTGAGCCACTGCACTCCAGCCTGGGTGACAGAGTGAGGCTCTGTCTCAAAACAAACAAACAAACAAACAAACAAAAACTTCTCTATTAGCTGTTTCTTCACTTTCATAGCCAAGCTTCTTAAAGAGAATGTTCTATCTGTCCTATTGTCACTCCCCTATTTAAAAGTTTGAAAACTGGCTAGGATCAGTGGCTCATGCCTGTAATCCCAGCACTTTGGGAGGCTGAGGCAGGAGGATGGCTTGAGCCCAGGAGTTTGAGACCAGCCTGAGCAAGAAGGTGAGACCCCCTCTCCACAACTTAAAATAAAAAAAAAAAAGAAGTTTGAAAAATGTTCCACAGCTTTCACGATAAAGTTCAAACTCTTATTTGGCACTCACAACACCCATCGTGATCTGGCCTCTCCTTACTTTGCCAGCCTTTCTCCCCAACTCTCTTATGTACCTGTTGCTCCAGGTATTCTGAAGTACTTTTCCTTTCCCCAATTCATCCTATTTATCCCCATTCCATCTAGAGCTTATGTCCTCTGCCATGAAATCTCCCTCCCTCCCATCCCATTCCACTTCCATGCCTATCCTTCTGCCTGCTTATCCTTTACAACAGCTCACATGTCACTCTTCTCTAAGAACTTTTCCCAAGTTCCAAAGTCTGAGTTAAAAACTCCTCCTTATGTTTTCAGAGGACAGATAAGTTAGCCAATGATTATAGGAGAGTGCTAAGCTCCTGGACAGTCAGAGACAGAAAATTAAGCACTTCTGCAGCAGCATTCCTGTTACATGGTAAATGGCCAAGAAACAGTTGCCAAATAAGTGAATAAACCTTTTGTAAGTTAGGTCTAACTGTGTAGGCATGTAAACATGTATTACATACTTATACAAATGTACATACACTGCAGAGAAAGAATCATTTGCAACACTGCTTTTATATACTTAAAAACATGATTTAATATGGCCTTATAGGCCAGGCACGGTGTCTCACACCTGTAATCCCAGCACTTTGGAAGGCCGAAGCGGGCGGATCACTTGAGGTAAAGAGTTCAAGACCAACCTGGTCAACATGGTGAAACCCTGTCTCTACTAAAAATACAAAAATTAGCTGGGTATGATGGTGCACACTTGTAATCCCAGCTACTCAGGAGGCTGGGGCATGAGAAATCACTTGAACCCAGGAGGTGGAGGTTGCAGTGAGCCAAGATTGTGCCACTGCACTCCAGCCTGGGCGACAGAGCAAGACTTCATCTCAAAGAAAAACAACAACAATAATAATAATATGGTCTTATAAATTAAATTCCCACTCTGTTTGGTATCCCTACTTTTTAACAACAACAAAAAATTATTTTGAGATAGGGTCTTGCTCTGTCACCCAGGCTGGAGTGCAGTGGTGTGATCACAGCTCATTACAGCCTCAACCTCCCAGGCCCAAGTGATCCTCCCACCTCAGCCTCCAAAGTAACTGGAACTATAAGTGTGTCCCACCATGCCTGGCTAATTTTTAACATTTTTTGTGGAGATGGGGTCTCCCTATGTTCCTTAGGTGGGTCTTGAACTCCTGGACTTAAGCGATCCTCCTGCCTTGGCCGCCTAAAGTACGGGGATTACAGGCATGATGAGCCACTGCACCCAGTCCTAGAAAGTGTTTTAAATGCAAAAAAGTAGAATGGCATAAAATAAACCCTGATATATTCATCACACAACTTTAACAATAATATAGTCAATCTTATTTCATCATCCCTTCCCTGATTAAACAAATCCTATACATTTAATCCTATCTCATCTGTTAATACCTTCCACACACTACTGACAAACAGAATTTTTGTTAAATCATAACCCCAATACTTTTTTTTTTTTCCAATTTGAAAGCAGTGAAGCCAGGCTCAGTGGCTCATGCATGTAATCCCAGCACTTTGAGAGGCTGAGGCAGGAGGATCACTTGAGCCCAGGAGTTGGAGACCAGCCTGGGCAATATAGTGAGACCCTGTCTCTACCAAAAATTTAAAAAGTTAGCTGGGCATGGTGGCGTGGGCCTGTCGTGCCAGCTACTTGGGAGGCTTAGTTGGGAAGATCACTTGAGCCCAAGAGGTTGAGATATAGTAAACCAGACAAGATCATGCTACTGCACTGCAGTCTGGGCAACAGCAAGATCCTGTTTCAAAAAAAAAGTCACTGTTCATTAACCAGATTACAAATATAATCATGATAGACACCTTAGTTCACCCTAGTTTTTGTTCAAGTGAGCCCCAATACTTTTGCCACACTTAACAATAATTCCTACTATCATCTGATATTCAGCTTATGCTCTCATTTCCCCTTCTTGATTGGGTGTAGTGACTCACACCTGTAATCTCAGCACTTTGGTAGTCTGAGGCAGGTGGATTTCTTGAGCTCAGAAGTTTGAAACTAGCCTGGGCAACATGGCGAAACACTGTCTCTGCAAAAAATACCAAAAAATTAGCTGTGAGTGGTGTTGCACACCTTTAGTCCCAGCTATTTCGGGGAATGAGGCAGGAGGATCCACTTGAACCTCGGGAGGTCAAGGCTGCAGTGAGCCATTATCGTGCCACTACACTCCAGCCTGTGTGACAAAGTGAGACTCTGTCTCAAACAAAACAAAACAAAAATTTCCCCTTCTCAATTGTCTTTTTACATTCTAAATACAAATATGACAACAAATAACTCCAACTGCATATTAGTTGGATAACTAAGAAGCCAATCTGAAAAGGCTCCCACTGTATGACTGCAACCATATGACATTCTAGAAAAGGTCAAACTATCTATCTAAGATTTTTTTCTTTTTTTTCTGAGACGGAGTCTCGCTCTGTCGCCCAGGCTGGAGTGCAATGGTGCGATCTTGGCTCAATGCAACCTCCACCCAGGTTCAAGTGATTCTCCTGCCTCAGCCTCCTGAGTAGCTGGGACTACAGGTAAGTGCCACCATGTTCAACTAATTTTTGTATTTTTAGTAGAGATGGGGATTCTCCATGTTGGCCAGGATGGTCTCAATCTCTTGACCTTGTGATCTGCCCACTTCGGCCTCCCAAAGTGTTGGGATTTCAGGCGTGAGCCACAGTGCCCGGCCCCATATAAGATTTATTCATGCCTTTTCATGGCTTGATAGCTCATTTCTTTTTAGTGCTGAATAATATTTCAATATCTGGATGTACCACAGTTTATCAATTCACCTACTGAAGGATATCTTGTTTGCTTCTAAATTTTGGTAATTATGAATAAAGCTGCTATAAACATCTGTGTGCAGCTTTTATGTGGACATAAGTTTTCAACTCACTTGGGTAGATACTATGGAGTGTAATGGCTGGATCGTACGGTAAGATTATGTTTCCTTTTGTATGAAATTGCCAAACTGAGATCAGTGCCGTGGCTGACGCCTGTAATCTCAACACTTCAGGAGGTCAAGGCAAGTGGATCGCTTGAGTCCAAGAGTTCAAGACCAGCCTGGGCAACATAGTGAAACCCTGACTCTACAAAAAATACAAAAATTAGGCATGGTGGCATGTGCCTAAAAAAGAAAGAAATTGCCAAACCGTCTTCCAAAGTGGCTGTACCATTTTGCATTCCCACCAGCAATGAATGAGAGTTCCTGTTAGGTGGGATAGTAATAAGAATTCACATCTTTGTCAACATTAAGTGTTGTCAAGTGTTTCAGATTCTGGCCATTCTGATAGGTGTGTAATGGTTGTCTTAACTTGAAATTCTCTAATAACATATGATGTTGAGTATCTTCTCTTTTTTTGAGACAGAGTCTCACTCTGTCTCCCAGGCTGGAGTACAATGGCGCGATCTCGGCTCACTGCCACCTCCGCCTCCCAGGTTTAAGCAATTCTCCTGCCTCAGCCTCCCAAGTAGCTGGGATTACAGGTGCACACCACCACACCTGGCTAATTTTTGTACTTTTAGTAGAGATGGGGTTTTGCCATGTTGGCCAGGCTGGTCTCGAACTCCTGACCTCAGGTGATCCATCCACATAGGCCTCCCAAAGTTCTGGGATTATAGGCGTGAGCCACTGTGCCTGGCTGAGTATCTTTTCATTAGACCTATTTGTCATTTGTATATCATTTTTCTTTTGAGACAGGGTTATGCTCTGTTGCCCAGGCTGGAGTACAGTGGTGTGATCTCAGCTCAGTGCAACTGCCACTTAAACTGGGCCTCCCACTTCAGCCTCCCAAGTAGCTGGGACTACAGGTGTGCACCACCACACCCAGTTAACTTTTGTATTTTTTGTAGAGACAGGTTTTCACCATGTTGGCCAGGCTGGTCTTGAACTCCGGGGCTCAAGCAATCCACCCAGTTCAGCCTCCCAAAGTGTGTATATTTTCTTTGATGAGGTATCTGTTCAGCTGTTTTGCCCAGTTTAAAATTCAGTCATTTATTTTTATTTATTTTCTTATTGTTGAGTTCTTCTGTTTCCTTTTTTTTTTTTTTTTTTTTTTTTTTTCTGAGACGGAGTCTCGCTCTGTCGCCCAGACTGGAGTGCAGTGGGCTCACTGCAACCTCCGTCTCCCAGGTTCAAGCAATTCTCCTGCCTCAGCCTCCTGGGTAGCTCGGATTACAGGCGCCCGCCACCACGCCCAGATAATTTTTGTACTTTTAGTAGAGACGGGGTTTTGCCATGTTGGCCAGGCTGGTCTCAAACTCCTGAACTCAGGTGATCTGCCCGCCTTGGTCTCCCAAAGTGCTGGGATTACAGGCATGAGTCACCATGTCTGGCCTTATATTTTCTATAATAGTCTTTTATCAGATATGTCTTTTGAAAGTATTTTCTCCCAATATGTGGCTTGCCTTTTTTTGACAGTGTCTCACAAAGCAGTTTTTAATGAAGTCCAGCTTATCAATTAATTTTTCATGGATCATGCCTTTGGTGTTATATCTAAAAAGTCATTGCTAAACCTAAGGTTAGTTTTATTTTCTCCTATAAGGATTGATTTTACAGATTTGCATTTTACATTTAGGTCTAGGATCCATTTTGACTTAATTTTTGTGAAGGACGTGAGGTCTGTGTCTAGATGGATCTCCAATTTTTTCAGCACCATGTTGAAAGACTATCTTGTCTCCATTGTATTCCCTTTGCCTCTTTTGTCAAAGATCAGTTGATTATCTCTTTATTTTTACCTTTCCAAATCTCAGTTTTAGCTATGCCTCTTATAAATAGTATAGCACTGGATTTTCATTTGTTAGCCAATCTGAAAATGTTTTACTTTATTATTTATTTTTTGAGACCAGGTCTTGCTCTATTACACAGGCTGGGGTGCAGTGGAGTGATCATGGTTCACTGCAGCGTCAAACTCCTGGGCTCAAGTGATCTTTCCACCTCAGCCTCCTGAGTAGCTAGGACTACAGGTACACATCACACACCACCCCTCCTGCCTGGCTAATTTTTATAGAGACAGGGTCTTGCTATGTTGGCTAGGCTAATCTTGAACTCCTGGCTCAAGCAGTCTTCCCACCTTGGCTTCCCAAAGTGTTGGGATTATAGGTGTGAGCCACCGTGCCCAGCCAGCTTTGTCTTTACTTAATGTTCTGAGACCATGCTACATGACTTCCTATCAGTTTGTGCCAATCAGTCTTTTGGCACTCTTCTCTTCCTTCAAGATATGGATCAATAACCAGATTCTAAGCTCTATGTTTTCTTTTTTGAGTCAGGGTCTAGCTCTGTTGTCCAGACTGGAATGCAGAGGCATGATTATGGCTCACTGTAGCCTTGATCACCCGGGCTCAATCTTCCCACTTCAGCCTCCTGAGTAGCTGGAACCACAGGTGCACGTCACCATGCTCAGCTAATTTTTTAAAATTTTTATAGAGATGGGGTCTTGCTATGTTGCCCAGGCTGGTCTTGAACTGCTGGGCTCAAGCCATCCTCCTTCCTCAAACTGCCAAAGTGTTGGGATTACAGGCACACACCAGTGAGCCTGGCCTAAACTCTCTCTCTTACTGGCACCGTAGTCCTAACTTTATAGGCCTGTCACAGAGATACTCAATAAATTTTGCTAATGTTATATGTAATTATTACATAATATTAGCACATACTTTATTATTTATTTTTTGAGACCAGGTCTTGCTCTGTTACACAGCCTGTTACACAGGCTGGGGTGCAGTTGGGTGATTGTGGTTCACTGCAGCGTCAAACTCCTAGGCTCAAGTGATATTATATTAGCATATTGGTAGTATTCTTTTCCTTTTCCTTTTTTTTAAGAGTGTAGTCACGAACCCGGTATGAATTCTAAATATGTGAGTACAGGTCTTTGTTCGTATGTTAGAAGGGCACAGACCATTCCTTACTGTATATCTCACGGTTTCTTCATTTGTTTGCATATATCAGCTGTTAGTACTGCTTTGGACTCTACCATTTTAACAAACTACCACAATTTGTTTATGCAAAAGACAGACATATAGATTGTTTCTGGTTTGAGGGCTAACAGAAACAGAGCCAGGGACCCCAAGGCAGTATGTACAATACCTACCTGCTGAGATGCCACACTCCTGCTGCCAGGCTGGAATCCCTCAGCACTGAACCCCAGTTCTTTGCTAGTAACTCCTTTTTCTCTATGAACATTTTGGTACAGAGACTATGTGCATTCACTTCTCTTGAGCAATAAACCTATGAGTAGAATTGCTGGGTCATACGGTAGATACATGCTTAACTATTAGAGACTGACAGCTTTCCAAAGTGGCTGTAACATTTTATATTCCCACCAGCACTACTGAGGGTTTCAGAGGCTTCACATTCTTGTCAACACTGACGTCTAAATTTTAGTCATTTTGGTGGATGTGTAGGACCTCATGGTTTTAATTTTTATTTTCCTGGCAAGTAATGATATTGAGCCCCTTTAAAAATGTTCATTGCTCATTTGGGTATCTTTTGTGCAACACCGAGTGTTTTACCCATTTTTAAATTGTTATATATTATTGATACATATGGTTATATATTATGGATAACAGACCTTTGTCAGATAGTCTCTCAGTCCTTACAGAATCTTTAACTAGTTAATGCTCAATAACTACCCACTGAATAAGTGAGGATCATTCACTGCAATAGGACCAAAAACTGGGATCTAGGATTATCATTCAGACAACAACTTCAGGAATTTAGAAAAAGGTCTTTTAAGAGATGTACTTATATAAAGCGAAATGTACTTCTCATATCAAAGATAAAAGTCAACCATAAAATAAAACACTTTCAGGGTTCAAAGACTATGTAAACCAACCACAAAAGAGGAGGTGGTGTTCCACTTATATAATAATTTTACCTAAGTTAGAACTGCAACTGGAGAAACAAATAATAAGGCTATCAGGAGTTAGTAGCTGATAGGTGGATTAACGAAGTTACTTTAGCTGTCTATCTAAACCAAGTGAAAATAGGCTTGTGAAACCAACGCTTATACACACACAAACACACACTAACTAAGCTTAAATAACATTTTTCTATTCCCCTCATCTGGCGTGTAGCCAGACGCTTGGAGAGGTTGGGGAGAACCCGCTCTGGCGAGGGCGCGGTACGCGGCGCCAGTTGCCCGACCATTCCCGAGACCTTGAAGGGACACTGGGTCAGATCCAGGGTTCACTTCCTTCCACGCCCCGCTACCGCCTTCCTTCCGATTGGCTGATCAGGGAGCACCACAGCCAATCCTAGACGGTGATTGGCCAGGCTACCGCCAGGGCCGCCTCACCCACAGACGCCTAAGACTAACAAGGTCTTGGCGGAGGAGCCGGGCACCCCGGCAGTAGGTACAGGACCTACCTGGGAAGATGCTGCACGCTTGCCGCCAGGCTCGAACCCTCGGCGCCGGACCCACCTCACTGCCCGGCCCTAGAGGCTCAAAGTCCCATCCTGACACACACACGCGGGCGCCGCCGCTGGCCCTCCGCAGAGGCGCGGTCACCGCGCAGATTCTGCCCACCGCCTTTCCTCCCCGACGCCGTCGCTATAGTCAGCACCGTCCTACCGGCCAAGGTGCGGAAACGCGACAAATTGCTTTACCTGAACGACCCTACTGGCAGACGCCATCTTGCTGCCCATCATGACCCCTAGAAGGGGCAGTTTCCGGGGCGCGAGCGAGCCGCGGCGATCACCGGAGTCCCGGGCGGCTGGGGGCGGTGCTTCTCGGGACGTCGCGGAGGCGGAGACCGGACTGGGCCCGCCTCCGCCGTGGGGCTGGCCCCGCCCCCTGTGCCTGACCGCCCCCACCCCGCCCCCCGCCTTCTCCCTCCTAGGGTCGACCCACGTGTGTTCTATTGTTTCGAGGACAAAGTTTTGTTATGGTGGGTCTCTTTTGCTCATTTGCCTATAAATTGTCTAGGACCATTTCCCTTCCAGAAAGCAAGTTTATAATTTCGAAACAGTTCAAAATTTTATCTGGAACCAAATAAATAATACAACCTTCTGATCTGCCAGCTCTTGCAAAGATTAAAAAAATTAAAGAAAAACAAAAACCCTGAGGTTTCCTAAAATGAATAATTTTGTTAAAACGGTAGTGGCAGGCTCACAAGAATTTACTCTGGCTTAAAAAGGGTCATGTCACAGTCCCTTGCTGATTGGCATTGCTTGATTGTAATTTGGTTTCTGTTTTCTTTACCGTTTATTACTCCTGATATTGAACTGCTGGGCCTTTGCTTCAAGTTGAGATAACTCAAAAATTCAGAAATATTTGAAACGTAAGCCACCCATATCTTTTCCCCAAAGTTGCATTACGGACGGGGCGCTACGACTCACGCCTGTAATCCCAGCACTTCGGGAGGCTGAGGCGGGCGGATCACTTGAGGTCAGGAGACCAGACTGGCCAACATAGTAAAACCTGTCTCTACTAAAAATACAAAAATTAGCCGGGCGTGGTGGCGGGCACCTGTAGTCCCAGCTACTCAGGAGGTGAGGCAGAAGAATTGCTTGAACCCAGAAGGCAGAGGTTGCAGTAAGCCGAGATTGCGCCACTGCACTCCAGCCTGAGCGATAGAGGGAGACTCCGTCTCACACACACACAGAAATGTTACATTACGTTCTGTGATAAATAATGCTTAGGTTATATATAGTATTGTAAGCTTGACCAATGTGTTTGATGATATACATCAGTGATTCTAAGTCTTGGGATCTTTTTAGAAATATAAATTACTGAACTCAAATATGGTCGATTCGGATTCAGTGTCTCTAGAGAGGCCATTAACCCGTTTTGTTTTATTTTTTTGGGGTTTTTTTTTTTTTTTTTTTTTTTTTGAGATGGAGTCTTGCTCTGTTGCCCAGCCTGGAGGGCTGTGGCGTGGCGTGATCTCGGCTCACTGCAACCTTTGCCTCCTAGACTCAAGCAATTCTCCAGCCTCAGCCTCCCCAGTAGCTGGGATTACAGGCGCCCGCCACCATGCCTGGTTAATTTTTGTATTTTTAGTAGAGACAGAGTTTCACCATATTGGCCAGACTAATCTCCAACTCCTGGCCTCAAGTGACCCACCCACCTTGGCCTCCCTAAGTGCTGGTATTACAGGCGTGAGCCACTGCGCCTGGCCCCATTTTAATTATTTTTTCTTTTTTTTTTTTGAGACTCCGTTTCAAATACAAAATTATTTGAAAATAATTTTGTATTTTTAGTAGAGATGGGGTTAAAAGGTTAAAGCTTTTTTTTTTTTTTTTTTTTGAGACGGAGTCTTGCTCTGTCACCCAGGCTGGAGTGCAGTGGTACGATCTCGGCTCACTGCAAGCTCCACCTCCCGGGTTAGCGGCAGGAGAATGGCATGGCGGCAGGAGAATGGGCAGCCTCCCGAGTAGCTGGGACTACAGGCGCCCGCCACCATGCCAGGCTACTTTTTTTGTATTTTTAGTAGAGACGGGGTTTCACCTTGTTAGCCAGGACGGTCTAGATCTCCTGACCTCGTGATCCGCCCTCCTTGGCCTCCTAAAGTGCTGGGATTACAGGCGCGAGCCACCACGCCCAGCAGATTCTTTTTTTTTTTTTTTTTTTTTGGGACAAGGTCTCAGTTGACACACCCAGGCTGGATGCCATGGCATGATCTCAGCTCACTGCAACCTCTGCCTCCTTGGTTCAAGTGATTCTCCTGCCTCATCCTCCCGAGTAGCTGGGATTACAGGCACCCACCACCACGCCCAGCTAATTTCTGTATTTTTAGTGGAGATGGGGTTTCTCCATGTTGGCCAGGCTGATCTCGAACTCCTGACCTCAGGTGATCTGCCCGCCTTGGCCTCCCAAAGTGCTGGGATTACAAGTGTGAGCCACTGCACCCGGCCCGGTTCAGTGCTTTTTAAAAAAATTTCATTTGAGACTCCTTTGACCTATGCCTCATTTAAAAGTGTGTTCAGTTTCCAAGTGTTTGGAAATTTTCCTGTTATTTGACTGTTACTGATTCCTCATTTAATTTCATTGTAATCAGAACACAGTCTGTAATTTCAATTCTTTTATATTTGTGAAATTTATTTATTCATTTATTTATTTTGAGACGGAGTCTCGCTCTGTCGCCCAGGCTGGAGTGCAGTGACACCATCTCAGCTTACTGCAAGCTCCGCCTCCCAGGTTACGCCATTCTCCTGCCTCAGCCTCCCAAGTGGCTGGCACTACAGGTGCCCACCACCACACTCAGCTAATTTTTTGTATTTTTAGTAGAGACAGGGTTTCACCGTGTTAGTCAGGATGGTCTCGATTTCCTGACCTCGTGATCTGCCCGCCTTGGCCTCCCAAAGTGTTGGGATTACAGGCATGAGCCACCCTGCCTGGCCAATTATTTTGTCATGCAGGATATGGTCTGTTATGTTCTACAAGCACTTGAAAAGAAAGTGTTCTACTGTTGTTTGGTGGAGTATTCTATGAATGTTGATTAGCTCCTGTTACGCCATATGTGCTATTATGACAAAATACCTTAGTTTGGGTAATTTATAACAACAGAAATTTACTTCTCATGTTCAGGAGGCTCAAAAGTCTAAGATCAAAGTACTAGCAGTTTCGGTGTTTTGTGAGGGCTCAGTCTCTTCTTCCAAGATGGTACTTTGAACACTGCTTCATCTGAGGGGTTTAACACTGTGTCCTCATATGGCAGAAGGGCAGAAGGAACCCACTCCCTCAAACCTTTTTTTTTTTTTGGAGACAGAGTCTTGCTCTGTCACCCAGGCTGGAGTGCAGTGGCACACTCTCGGCTCACTGCAACCTCTACCTCCTGGGTTCAAGCCATTCTCCCGTTTCAGCCTCCCAATTAGCTAGGATTATAGGCGCCCACCACCACGCCCAGCTAATTTTTGTATTTTTAGTAGAGATGAGGATTTGCCATGTTGGCCAGGCTGGCTTCGAACTCCTGACCTCAGGTGATCGGCCCACTTTGGCCTCCCAAAGTGCTGGGATTACAGGCATGCGCCATTGTGCCTGGCCCTCAAACCTTTTTTAAGGGCCCTAATCTCATTCATGACGGCTCTGTCCTCATGATTTAATCATTTCCTGGAGGCCCTACCTTTTAGTATTGTCACATTGGCAATTTTCAACAGATGAATTTTGAAGGACACAGTCAGACCATAGCTTACCGCCTTTGGCCCCCAAAATTTATGTCCTACTCTCATGCAAAATACATTTATCAGATGCAGTTGCTCACGCTTGTAATCCTAGCACTCTGGGAGGCTGAGGCAAATGGATCACTGAGGTCACGAATTCCATGCCAGCCTGGCCAACATGGTGAAACCCTGTCCCTACTAAAAATAAAAAAATTAGCTGAGTGTGGTGGTGTATGCCTATAATCCCAGCTACTTGGAAGCTGAGGCATGAGAATTGCTTGAACTGGGAGGTGGAAGTTGTTGACAGTGAGCCAAGATCGTACCACTGCACTTCAGCCTGGACAACAAAGGGAGGCACTGTCTCAAAAGACAAAAAACAAAAATACATTTATCCATCCCAAAAGTCTCAACTCATTCCAGCACCAACCCAAAACTATAAAGCCCAGTCTCACCTAAATCAGATATCGATGAGACTCAAGGCATGACTCATCCTGAGGCAAATTCTCCTCCAACTGTGAGCCTGTGAAATCAAATAGATGTGCTTCCAAAACACGATGGGCCAGGAATAGGATTGACATTCTCATCCCAAGAGGGAGAAATAGACAAGAAAAAAGGAGTAATAGGTCCCAAGTAAGTTAAAAACCCAACAAGGCAAGCATTAACTCTTGAAGCTTGAGAATAATTCTTGACTCAGTATCTTGACTTCTGGATGCATTAGGATGGGGGTTGGACCCTAAAGCCCCAGGGCAGCCCTACCCCATGGTTTTGCTGGGCACAGCCAACCCAGCAGCTCTCAGGAGTTCAAGAGAGGTACTTGGACTCTCTCAGGCAGGTATTGCATGCTGATGGTTCTACACGTCTGAAGTCTCAGGGATGGCCCTGCCCATATAGCTCTGTAACAGCCTTTTATTGTTAGCCTTAGATAGCAGATAACTACCACTGAGGTTTTGTTTTTTGAGACGGAGTCTTGCTCTGTCACCCAGGCTGCAGTGCAGTGGCACAATCTCGGCTCACTGCAATCTCTGCCTCCCGGGTTCACGCCATTCTCCTGCCTCAGCCTCCCGAGTAGCTGGGACTACAGGCACCTGCCACCACGCCTGGCTAATTTTTTGTATTTTTAGTAAGAGACGGGGTTTCACCATATTAGCCTGGATGGCTTCGATCTCCTGACCTCATGATCTGCCCACCTCAGCCTCCCAAAGTGCTGGGATTACAGGCGTGAGCCACGGTGTCGTTTTCTTTTTTTTTCTTTTTTTTGAGACAGGGACTCACTCTGTCATCCAGGCTGGAGTGCACTGGCACCATTATAGCTCATTACAGCCTCAAACTCCCTGGTTCAAGCAGTCTTTCTGCCCCAGCCTCCTGAGCAGCTGGGACTACAGGCATGTACCACCACGCCCAGATCACTGAGTTGGTTAGTGATATGATGTCATCTTAGCAGGTTAGTTCTTCTGCCCTTTTTGTAGAACATAATCCATGGGTAGGTTTTCTGGCCTTAGAAAATATATCTACTCCATATAAAGAAAAAAAACATAAATAGGTAATGTATCTACTGCAAGCCTGGGCACACTGGCTCATGCCCGTAATCTCAGCATGTTGGGAGGCCGAGGCAGGCAGATCACTTGAGATCAGGAGTTTGAGACCAGCCTGGCCAACATGGTAAAACCTCATTTCTACTAAAAATGCAAAACAATTAGCCAGGCCGGGCGCAGTGGCTCACACCTGTAATCCCAGCACTTTGGGAAGCCAAGCCAGGCGGATCAGCTGAGGTCAGGAGTTCAAGACCAGTCCGGCCAACATGGTAAAACCCTGCCTCTACTAAAACTACAAAAATTAGCCGGGCGTGGTAGTGCATGCCTGTAATCCCAGCTACTTGGGAGGCTGAGGCAGAATTGCTTTAACCCGGGAGGCAGAGGTTGCAGTGAGCCAAGATTGTGCCACTGCGTTCTAGCCTGGGCAACAGAGTGAGACTCTGTCTCAAAAAAAGAAAAAATTAGCCGTACATGGTGGTATGCACCTGTAGTCCCAGCTACTCAGGAGGTTGAGGCAGGAGAATCCCTTGAACTTGAGATGTGGAGGTTGCAGTGAGCTGAGATGGCACCATTGCACTTCAGCCTGGGAAACACAGTGAGACTCCATCTCAAAAAAGCAAACAACAGGAAAAAAATAAAAAAAGACTGTGACTGTTGTAGATGTAAAAAGATCTTTGTGCCCCCAACTTCAGAAAGCTGCTCAGAAGGACATACTCTCTAATGCCCTCTTCAGAGACATGGCCGACATTGATAATGAAAAAGGTAGAACCTCCCCACAGGCAGAGTGAAGAATCTGGATGAAGTACCTCCAGAAAACAACATAAGAGCCTCATCAATGTCACTATCCCCTAGTAAGGGGAATCTCCTATCATTTGCCAAGTAATACTTAAAGATTTTGGCTGGGTGTGCTGGTTTACACCTGTAATTCCAGCACCATAGGAGGCTGAGGTGGGTAGACGGCTTTAACCCAGGAGTTCAAGACCAGCCAGGGCAACAAAGTGAGACCCTGTCTCTACCACAAAAAAATAAAAAAAAAAAAAAGGAAACTTTTTTTTCCTGCAGACCTATTCCACTATTGCTTGCTGGATATGCAGACTGCAGACCTATCCCACTATTGCTTGCTGGATATGCAGACTGCAGACCTATTCCACTATTGCTTGCTGGATATGTGAGGTGATATAATTTGTCTTTTCAGTTCACAGGTCTCTAGATGAAGGGCCACATCTGGACCTGATATAAAAGACCGAACTTTGAAAAAAGTGTAACAGTTGGATGACACTATTAGCTTATCTCTTATCTTCCTTGGGAAATGTCTTTTGCATGCACAATGCAGAAAGGAAGTTAATATTTATGATCAAGATAGCTGAGTTTAATAGATTGTATTCTTTCAGTAAAATACCCACTTTTTTTCTCCAACTCTGAAATCCACCACTCCCCTGCCATGGGAGAAGTATACTTTCCTGCCTCAATGATGTCGGGTTTCGTCAATGTCAGCCTCTTTCAAACAGAAACTTTAATCATACTGGTATAATTGGACTTGACATCATAAGCTCCTGCCCTGTGCCATGAGAATGTTTCAGATTGTGGCTGTTCCCTCAGCCCGAGTCGTAGAATCATGAGCTGAAGGACAGACCCAAAACAGAAATGTCTGTTATAAGCCACTGAGATTTGGGGTTATTATTCAGCATGATTTTAGGAAAAGCTAATATAATTTCTCTCTCAGAATTGATCCTTAAGAAGGAACTTGGCCAGGTGCGGTGGCTCACACCACCACTTTGGGAAGCCAAGATGGCTGGCCTTGAGCTCAGGAGTTCACTTTCCAGCACTTTGGGAGGCCAAGATGGGTGGCCTTGAGCTTAGGAGTTTGAGGCCAGCCTGGGCAACATGGCAAAATCCCATCTCTACCAAAAACACAAAATTAGCCAGGCGTGGTGGCACGTGCCTGTGGTCCCAGCTACTAGGGAGGCTGAGGCAGGATCACTGCTTTAACGCAGGAGGCAGAGGTTGCAGTGAGCTGAGATTGTGCCACACTGCCCTCTAAACTGGGCAAAAGAGGCAGACTCCGTCTCAAAAAAAAAAAAAGAAAAGAAAACAAATGCTAGCTTCATTTCAAGTTTCACGTCCTTCTAAAAAGAATGTGGAGGCCAGGTGCAGTGGCTCATGCCTGTAATCCCAGTAGTCTGGGAGGCCGAGGCAGGCAGATAATTTGAGGTCAGGAGCTCAAGACCAGCCTGACCAACATGGTGAAACCACTGTCTCAACTGAAAATACAAAAAATTAGCTGGGCATGGTGGCCCACACCTGTAATCTCAGCTACTCAGGAGGCTAAGGCATGAGAATGGCTTGAACCCAGGAGGCGGAGGTTGCAGTGACCTGAAATCACACTAGTGCATTCCAGCATGAGTGACAGAGCGAGCCTCTGTCTCAAGGAAAAACAAAAAACCAACCAACAAACAAAAATGTTGAAAATACTACATTAGCTGTAAAAATGTTCAACAGCTCCAAATTAATAAAGTGCTCAAATTAAGAGTTTTTCAAAAATAGACTGCAATGCTATAAAAAGTGACAAGTTCTATTTTGTAATAACTAAGATAGAGTACTATTAAAGGGCACCAATTTAAAAAAAATAAGATAGAGTAACATTAATTCCTTTTATTTCTTAACTTACAAAACTCATAGGAAAAAAAATGCAAACTAGGCCAGGCTCAGGGGCTTACGCCTGTAATCCTAGAACTTTGGTAGGCCGAGGCGGCGGATTGCCTGAGCTCAGGAGTTCCAAGACCAGCCTGGGCAACACGGTGAAACCCTGTCTCTGCTAAAATACAAAAAATTAGCCAGGCATGGCGGTGTGCACCTTTAGTCCCAGCTACTCAGGAGAACTGCTTAAAGCCGGGAGGCAGAGGTGATCTCAGCAATGAGCTGAGATCGCACCACTGCACTCCAGTCAGGGCGACAGAGTGAGACTCCGTCTCAAAAAAAAAAAGGCAAACTAAATATAGAAGTATAAAAAGAAAAAAATTACTTTCAATCCCACTACAAATAACTAACCACAACTGTACAACTGTAAACGTTATGGATATGCTTTTCTAAAATTATGGTGGACAAACAAATGCACAGAAATATTCCAAATAAGAGTTGGGACTGCCAAAAATGTAAAATATGTCAGAAATGAATTCCTATTACATCATGTCGACATTCTTCTCAAGCTGCAGAACAATTTCCTTAAGGGCAGGATCCTCTGCCCAATTGACTTTACTCCCCAAAATAAGGTTCTGTAAAGAAAAAAAATTGTTTTAAATTAAAGTTACAAGTATTTTAAAAATTTAACAAGATTTGAGAGTATCATTTTTCACGAATCTTACCAAATAATTAACATTTACTACATGTGTAGCTCTGTGATAAGAAAAAAATGATAATACATTCTTCTTTTTTTTTTTTTTGAGTCAGAGTCTCATTCTGTCACCCAGGCCGGAGTGCAATGGTGCGAACTTTGGCTCACTGCAACCTCCGCCTCCCAGGTGGAGGATCACCTGAGGTCGGAGTTTGAGACCAGCCTGGTAAACATGGTGAAACGCCATCTCTACCAAAAATATAAAAATTAGCCAGGTGTGGTGGCAGATGCCTATAATCCCAGCTACTCAGGAGGCTGAGGCAGGAGAATCGCTTGAACCCAGGAGGAGGTTGCAGTGAGCCAAGATCACACCACTGCACTCCAGCCTGGGCTACAGAGTGAGACTCCGTCTGAAAAAAGAAAAAAGGAAAATCAAGACCTTAAGCATTAAGTATACACACATTCCAGATACATACAAACAGACCAATATTAAACGTTGAATTATTTCATCAAGATCAAAAACTAGCTGAAAGTTAAGTCAATACTGTATAATAGCATCATCAAATAGTTGGCCAGGCGCAGTGGCTCATGCTTGTAATCCCAGCACTTTGGGAGGCTAAGGTGGATGGATCACCTAAAGGTGAGGGGTTTGAGACCAGCCTAGCCAACATAGTGAAAACCCGTCCCTACTAAAAATTAAAAAATTAGCCAGGTGTGGTGGTGGGCACCTGTAATCCCAGCTACTCAGGAGGCTGAGACAGGAGAATTGCTTGAACCAGGAGGCAGAGGTTGCAGTGAGCTGAGATTGAGTCATTTCACTCCACCCTGGGCAACAAGAGTGAAACTCCATCTCAAAAAACAAAAAAAGTACTTTACTTTTCTTGCTAGTTTATATAAATGTTACCTGGAACACATGTTGAATAACGGTAGTAATTTTTAACTCCATCTGTAGGTTTTGTCGTATGATCTTTATCCTGTCTGAGTTTTCCATACTGTCCAAATCAATCTTCTGTTTGTTCTTTTCAGTCTGTATTTCTAAAAGCTTACTTTCTGAAGCTTGTTTTAATTCTGTTAGGTTAAAAATAAAATAATATACCATATATAATACCTCTACAAACTAGGATCTTGAAAAATTATGAAGCAGATCACTTCTTGGTTATTTTAGTCAAGAGAAAAATTTTAATGAGCAGCATTTTAGGTTGCAATTTTATTATGATCTGAAAATGACTTCCCTGGTGCAAAATAACAATATTTTAATTTTGTACTTAGCAATGCCCTTAGTGAAATGTTCCAGGTATTTCTGTATGACAATAACAGCTGTCCACAGATATTTCAAGTGGTATCATGTATCGAGGGTTTATTTTGGGTTGCTAAAACAGGTAGGAAATACATATATCTTTTCCTTCTTTAATTACAAAAATGAAACATATAAACATTTATTTTATTATTTTTGAGATGAAGTCTTACTCTGTCACCTAGGCTGGAGTGCAGTGGTGCGATCTCGGCTCACTGCAGCCTCCGCCTCCCGGGAGTTCAAGTGATTCTCCTGCCTCAGTGTCCTGAATAGCTGGGATTACAGGCACCCGCCACCACACCTGGCTAATGTTTGTGTTTTTAATATAGACGGGGGTTTTGCCATGTTGGCTGGGCTGGTCTCCAACTCCTGATCTCAAGTGATCCACCCACCTTGGCCTCCCAAAGTGCTGGGATTATAGGCATGAGCCACTGTGCCCGACAAAATAAGATTAATTTTAAATGAAAAGTAAGCTTCCTTGGCCGGGCTCACGCCTGTAATCCCAGCACTTTGGGAGGCTGAGGTGGGCAGACCATCTGAGGTCAGGAGTTTCGAGACCAGCCCAGCCAACATGATGAAACCCCATCTCCATGAAAAATACAAAAATTAGCTGGGCATGGTGGCACGTGCCTATAATCCCAGCTACTCAGGAAGCTGAGGCAGGAGAATCACTTGAACCCAGAGGCAGAGGTTGAAGTAAGCCGAGATTGCACCACTGCACTCTAGCCTGGGCAACAAGAGTGAAACTCTGTCTCAGGAAAAATAAAGTAAGATTCCCCTCTCCAGGGATAAACATCATCAACCATTTTTTGTATTACTGGAAATAGTCTAAGAATTAAACTACTTGGAAATATAAATGGATGTATTTCAGGGGCCTGTTCTTCAACATTAATGTATTAAACGAGGTTGGAATACAGTGGAAAAAATGAATCATCAAAAGGGTATAGCCTGAGCATGGGTGGCTCATTCTTATAATCCCAACACTTTGGAAGGCTGAGGCAGGAGGATCGCTATAAGTTTGAGACCACCCTGGGCAACATAGCAAGACCCTGATTCTACTTAAAAAAACGTGGGGGGAATAAACAAGATGACCAATACTACTACTGACCCTGAGATTATCTGCTAACAGGCAAATCTATATAATGTTTACAAATGACAAATCTGAGCAGGGTGCAGTGACTCACACCTGTAATCAGCACTGTGGGAGGCTGAGGAGGGTGGATCACTTGAGGTCAGGAGTTGGAGACCAATCTGGCCAACATGGTGAAACCCGTCTCTACTAAAAATATAAATTAGCAGGGCATGGTGGCAGGTGCCTGTAATTCTGGCTACTCAGGAAGCTGAGGTAGAAGAACTGCTTGAACCCGGGAGGAGGGGGTTGCAGTGAGCCGAGATCGCACCACTGCACTCCAGCCTGGGTGACAAGAGCAAAACTCCCGTCTCAAAAAAAAAAAAAAAAAAAAAAAAAAACCAGCTAGGCGCGGCGCTCATGCCTGTAATCTCAGCACTTTGGGAAGCCGAGGTGGGTGGATCACCTGAGGTAGGGAGACCAGCCTGACCAACATGGAGAAGCCCCGTCTCTACTAAAAAGACAAAATCAGCTGGGAGTGGTGGCAGTTGCCTGTAATCCCAGCTACTCGGGAGGCTGAGGCAGAATTGCTGGAACCTAGGAGGCAGAGGTTGCAGTGAGCCAAGATCATGCCATTGCACTCCAGCCTGGGCAACAAGAAATTCTGTATCAAAAAAAAAAAAAAAACCACAACCAACAACTCTGGCCGGGCACAGTGGATCGATCACGTCTGTAATTCCAGCACTCTGGGAGGCCAAGGTGGGCAGATTACTTGAGCCCAGGAGTTTTTTTTTTTTTTTTTTTTGAGACGGAGTCTCACTCTGTCACCCAGGCTGGAGTGCAGTGCAGTGGTGCGATCTCGATTTACTGCAAGCTCCACCTCCCGGGTTCACGCCATTCTCCTGCCTCAGCCTCCCGTGTAGCTGGGACTACAGGTGCCCGCCACCTCGCCCGTCTAATTTTATGTATTTTTAGTAGAGACAGGGTTTCACCATGTTAGCCAGGATGGTCTCGATCTCCTGACCTCGTGATCTGCCCGTCTCAGCCTCCCAAAGTGCTGGGATTACAGGCGTGAGCCACCGCGCCTGGCCGAGCCCAGGAGTTCTATGCCAGCCTGTGTAACATGATGAACCCTGTCTCTAGAGAAAAATAAATTTAAGAAATCTACAGAAAAAACAATTAGTCAGGCATGGTGGCATGCATCTGTAGTCCTAACTATCAGGGATCCCGAGGTGAAAGCATAGCCTGAGTCCAGGAAGTCGAGGCTATAGTGCGCCATGAGCATGCCTCCAGCCTGAGTAACAGAACAAGACCCCGTCTCAAAAAACAAAGAAAGAGGCCAGTCACAGTGGCTTACGCCTATAATCCCAGCACTCTGGGAGGTAGAGGCGGGCAGAACACCTGAGGTGAGGAGTTCGAGACCAGCCTGGACAACATGGTGAAACCTTGTCTCTACTAAAAATACAAAAATTAGCTAGGTGTGGTAGCACGCCTGTAATCCCAGCTACTTGGGAGGCTGAGGCAGAAGAATGGCTTGAATCCAGGAGACAGAGGTTGCAGTGAGCCAAGATCACGCCACTGCACTCCAGCTTGGACAGCAGAGCGAGACTATTTCAAAACAAAAACAAACAAAGGCTGGGTGTGGTGGCTCACGCCTGTAATCCCAACACTTTGGGAGGCAGAGGTGGGTGAATCACAAGATCAGGAGTTCAAGACCAGCGTGGCCAAGATGGTGAAACCCCGTCTCTAATAAAAATACAAAAAATTAGCCAGGCATGCTCGTTGGCGCCTGTAATCCCAGCTACTCGGGAAGCTGAGGCAGAGAATTTCTTGAATCCAGGAGGCAGAGGTTGCAGTGAGCCAAGACTGCACCACGGCACTCCAGCCTGGGTGACAGAGCGAGAAAGCATCTCACAAAAAAAAAAAAAGAAAAAGAAAAAAAAGAAATACAGGCCAGGTGCAGTAGCTCATGCCTGTAATCCTAGCACTTTGGGAGGCCAAGGCAGGAGCATCACTGAGAGCAGAAGTTCAAGACAAACCTGGGTAACACAGCAAGATTCTATGTCAACAAAAAACAAAAAAGTTAGCTGGGCATGGTGTAGTACACTTGTATTCTAAGCTATTTGGGAGCTGAGGTGGGAGGATGGCTTGAGCCCAGGAGGTCAAAGCTGCAATGACCTGCAATGAACTATGATCACGCCACTGCACTCCAGCCTGGGTGACACAGCAAGACCCTTTCTCACCAAAAAAAGAAGAAAGAAAAGAAAAAAAAAAAAGCTTTGAAGACTGATTATCTTTTGATGGAAAATTTAAAAGTTTAACTTCTCATTTGCATACCTTTGTTTCCAAATGTTCTACAGTGTGCATTGCCTTTGATATAAACATTTCAACAGTTTCAATGCAAAAAACCATCTCATGTCATGATAAAGTGAAAAGGCTGTAGATCCATACATATCATCTTATCATTTAGAAATTATATATATGTGTGTATATATATGTATATATATAAAATGTTTATATGGACATGGAAAAGTCTAGAATGATAAATACCAAACTGTGGTCACACAGAAAACAGGCATCACTTTTGTGTTATAATTTACCACATCATTTTATTTTTCCCCTTCTGAGAATGTACTAATTTTGTGATTTAAAGTTCTAAAATAATGAGGCACAGCACGGTGGCTCATGCCTAATCCCAGCACTTTGGGAGGCCGAGGCAGGTGGATCACTTGAGATCAGGAGTTCGAGACCAGCCTGACCAACATGGTGAAACCCTGTCCCTACTAAAAATACAAAAATTTGACCAGGTGCGGTGGCTCACGCCTGTAACTAGCACTTTGAGAGGCCGAGGCAGGCGGATCGTCTGAGGTTGGGAGTTCAAGACCAGCCTGGCCAACATGGTGAAATCCCATCTCTACTAAAAAAATACAAAAACTAGCCACATGTGGTGGGACACACTTGTAATCTCAGTTACTGTGGAGGCTGAGGCACAAGAATCACTTGAACCCAGGAGGCAGAGGATACAGTGAGCCGAGATTGTACCACTGCATTCCAGCATGGGTGACAGAGTGAGATTCTTTCTCCAAAAAAAAAATACCATATTAAAGAATTAAAAAAAAAAAAAAAAAAAAAAGGGGGCCGGGCGCGGTGGCTCAAGCCTGTAATCCCAGCACTTTGGGAGGCCAAGACGGGCAGATCATGAGGTCAGGAGATCGAGACCATCCTGGCTAACATGGTGAAACCCCGTCTCTACTAAAAAAATACAAAAAACTAGCCGGGCGAGGTGGTGGGCGCTTGTAGTCCCAGCTACTCGGGAGGCTGAGGCAGGAGAATGGCGTAAACCTGGGAGGTGGAGCTTGCAGTGAGCCAAGATCGCGCCACTGCACTCCAGCCTGGGTGACAGAGCAAGGCTCTGTCTCAAAAAAAAAAAAAAAAAAAAGCAAAGTTAGCTGGGCGTGGTGGTGGGTGCCTGTAGTCCCAGCTACTCAGCAGGCTGAGGCAGGAGAATCACTTGAATTCGGGAGGCAGAGGTTACAGTGAGCCAAGATAGTTCACTGCACTCCACCTGGGTGATAGAGCAAGACTCTGTCTCAGAAAAAGCAAACAACAAACGAAAATAAAGTTCTAAAACAATGAGAATAAATAGAACAAAATGTACTTTATATCACTTTTTAAGCTGCCATATCAAAAATTTAAAGAAATTTTGAAAGTCAGAAATTACAAAATTTCTCGGTGGCTAAGAGATCTGGCCTTATCAATCTATAAAGTAAGCAAAATGTGTTCCGCCAAAAAAAAGTGTTTTACATACGCAATCTCTTCTTTCTAATATCAAGCAGTTTTTCCTCTAAATCCCAAGATTCCTGTTATTAAAAATAAAAAAGTTAAAGCACATTACTGTAGGTAAGGACAAACCTGTAATACTTAAATCACTGAGTTTTGTCTACTAGCTTTAGTTATCTAAAGTTCCAGTTTTCAGTTCCTCTATTTCCACACAACAAAAGGAAGACAGTAAATTAACTTATAAGTAGATAATGTTCAACATTAGTCAGAAATAATAGAATTCTGAAAAAAAGACAGAACTTAAGGACAGCAAATTCCAATCATAGCATTCCCTTTGGACAATCCTATTTAATCATATACATTACAGTTACCAGCAAGAAGTTGAGAGTAAAATCATGAGAATGCATAATCAGCCTAATGTGTAAGTTTACCTGCTGTGATTTCATTATTAATTTATTTAGCTCTAATAGGTGTTTCATGTTATCCATGAGCACACTGAAAAGGAAACAAAAAGATGATTTATTAAGGTTATTTGTAACTTAATTAAAAATACCTGTCATTAATGAAGGAATCAATGAATGAAAACTTACTTTCATTAAATCCACCATACACTTGGATAAAAAGTCAGTTTAACAAAATAAATCTGGAAAAGTTTGATGTAATCCAAATTTCTGTTGAAATTAGAGATGCATTTCCCTAGAAAAATGTTTGGTCACAGATATTGAAGAATACCAAATTTAAAAATGTGGGAACACTTCTAAAAATTTCATATTTAGAGAGGAAACACCCTAATAACTTCCTAACAAGCTGCTTTTGTTTTGAATTTATTTTTTAGAGCAATTTAAGTTTTTGTTTTGAATTTATTTTTTAGAGCAATTATAGTTTCACAGCAAAACTGAGTGGAAGGTATAGGGATTTCTCATATACACCCTGCCCCCGACACATGCACAGCCTCTCCCATTATCAATATCCCCTACCAAAGCGGCACATTTGTTACAATCAACAAACCTATATCGACACATCATTGTTACGCAGAGTCTGGATTTTACATCAAGGTGCACTCTTGCTTGTGTATATTCTATGGGTTTGTTTTTGTGACAGGGTCTCGCTCTGCCACCCAGGCTGGAGTGCAGTGGCACAATCACAACCTCAACCTCCTGGGCTTAAGCGATCATCCTGCCTCAGCCTCTGAAGCAGCTGGGATTATAGGCATACACTACCATAATAATTTAATACCCACTAATTTTTAAATTTTTTGTAGACACGAGGTCTCCCTATATTGCCCAGACTGGTCTGGAACTCCAGGGTTGAAGCAATCCTCCCTCTTCAGCCTCCCAAAGTGGTAGGATTATAGACATGAGCTACCGAGGTCCCGCCCAGTCTCTGGGTTTTGACATATGTATAATTACATGTATCTACCATTATTGCAGCATGTAGAATAGTTTCAAGGAATAAACTGCTTTTTAACTCTACTTTGACAAATATTTTTGAGTACTTCCTACATGCTTTCAAGAACTATGCCAGGTGCCAGGAATGTAAAATAAAATAAAACACAGCATCTGTTTTCAAAGAGGAAAGAATCTAGTGGAGGAGAAAAATAAATCCACAATCATACTGTAGTGCAATAACAAACATGAACCAAAGTTATGCACAAGGTGGAATGAGGACATAAAGTAATTACCTAGATCAAGTAGTTTGGTATGGTGGGAGCAAAAGGGTGTGGAATAAGACTGGGCAGAGCAGTGGCTCTCATACTTCAGAGTGCCACAGTCACATGGGAGTCTTGTTAAGTGAGGATTCCTAGTCCCCAAACTTCAGATATGCTGATTCAAGGCCCGGTTCAGTGGCTCATACCTGTAATCCCGGCATGTTGGGAGGCTGAGGCAGGAGGATTGCTTGAGTTCAGGAGTTTGAGACCTGGGCAATATAGCAAGACTACATCTCTATTTAAAAAAAAAAAAAAAAGGCCAGGTACAGTGGATCCCTTGAAGTCAGGAGTTCGAGATTAGCCTGGCCAATATGGCAAAACCCCATCTCTACTAAAAATACAAAAATTAGCCAGGTGTGATGGTGTGTGCCTGTAATCCCATCTACTCAGGAGGCCGAGGTAGGAGAATCGCTTGAACCCGGGAGGCAGAGGTTGCAGTGAGTCAAGATCATGCCACTGCACTCCAGCCTGGATGACAGAGCAAGATTCCGTCTTAAAAAGAGAAAAAAAAGATATGCTGATTCAGAAAGTTTGGGATAGGACCAACAATGTGATCATTGTAATAGACATTATTCTGATAATCAGCCAGGTGTGAAAAACACTGTAGAAGCAACTAACTGAGAAGGCCAAAAGGGGGAATCTGCACAAACCTGGGAGAACTGAACTCATTTTTTTTTTTTACTATTTACAGCTATATTTGGTTGTCTTAAAAGATAAATTTAGGCATAGTAAAATGTAACAACTTTATTTTACCAGACAATTCATGCATCTGGCAACACAGGATTGTAAGCTGTTTAGTGCTCTACTGTGGGAGTTAAGTGAGGAAGCTTTTATAAGGTGTTCATAGAAGAAAGACAGAAAATATAATTGGTTGGTTAAAGTGGAACATCTCTAGGTAGAGGTTAGTTGGCAGTTTCTCATTGGGTAAGCTTAAGCTCCATTTTACTGTTAACAACAGGCTTACATAGGAACCCCAAGGTGCTGGAGCTTAAGGCTAAAGATGGTTCAGCCTAATGGCATTCCAGTTGTATCCCAAATAATTTTTTTTTTTTTTAACAGTTGTAAACTTTAAAATGTGCTAATAAAACACTGCCTCAGCCTATTTGACCTTTCTGGTTTTTTTTTTTTTTTTTTTTTTTGAGACAGAGTCTCACTCTTGCCCAGGCAGGAATGCAGTGGTGCAGTCTCAGCTCACTGCAACCTCTGCCTCCTGGGTTCAAGCGATTTTCCTGTCTTAGCCTCCCAGGTAGCTGGGATTACAGGCGCCTGCCACCACGCCTGGCTAATTTTTGCATTTTTAGTAGAGATGGGGTTTTACCATGTTGGCCAGGCTGGTCTCGAACTTCTGACCTCAGAAGATCCGCCTGCCTCAGCCTCCCAAAGTGCTGGGATTATAGGCGTGAGCCACCGTGCCAGGTCTGACCCTTCTGTTGTTTTTTGGTGTCAACAGTGAAACTGGCCCAATTGTCCCACAGAACTGATGTTTATGATTTCTTTTGAATAAACAGAAACTGACCGTCCCAGTATTAAAACTTGAGAAAGTTACAACTGTCTTATCTGAGTTCCTTTCTCAGGAAACCAACCATCAGGCTTCCCAGATAGTATCAAGGAACTGAAACTTACAAGATCACACCCTCTGGATAATAAGAATCAGACCCCTCACCCATCAAGACCGCCTAAACAACTACCTGCTTCCTATTGACTAACTCCTCTTCCTTACCCCTCCCTAATTCCTGTTTTCCCATACATGGTTACATATCTTCCCTGCTATAAAAACCCTTAATTTGGCAGAGTGTGGTAGTTCATGCCTGTAATCTCAGCACTTTGGAAGGCCAACGCAGGTGGATCACTTTGAGCTCAGGAGTTCGCGACCAGCCTGGGCAACAAGGCAAAACTCCATCTCTACAAAAAATACAAAAATTAGCCAGGCACGGTGGCATGTGCCTGCAGTCCCAGCTACTTGGGAGGCTGAAGTGGATTGCTTGAACCTGGGAGGTCGAGGCTGCAGTGAGCCAGGATCACGCCACTGCACTCTAGCCTGAGCAACAGAGTGAGGCCCTGTCTCAACAAAACAAGACAAAACAAAACACCCTAGATGGACTTAATTTTAGTCTATCTAGGAGATGAGACTGATCTTCCCTCTCCTTGGCTATAGTACTCAAAGCCTTCTGACAATACTCATGTCAGTGATTACATTTCTGTGCAGCAAGCAACAGAACCTAGACCGAATCCCTGACATTTCAGTAACAATATGATGAATCTGTCCTGATGTCCTGCACCCCACACTTTAAACTCAATAATGTTCTTTTTTTTTTTTTTCCCCGAGATGGGGTCTCACTATTGCCCAGGCTAAGGTGCTGTGGCAAGATCACAGCTTACTGCAGCCCGATGACCTCCTAGAATCAAGGCAGGAGGCTGATCCTCTCCCCTCAGCCTCTGGAGTAGGTAGGACTACTGGTGGCTCCACCACACCTGGCTAAGTTTTAAAAATTTTTTGTTGAGCTGAGGCCTCCCTATGTTGCCCAGGCTGATCTCAAATGCCTGGGCTCAATCTATACTCCTGCCTGAGGCTCCCAAACTGTTGGGATTATAGGCATAAGCCTCTGTACCCAGGCTAAACTCTCCTTTTATGGGAGAGAAAAAGTTATGAGTGTTCAAATTCAGATTTTTGGATTTAAGTAATCCTGGATTTAGCTGGAATATGGGGAAAACGTGTATCTGTGTGGGCTAAGATATTCAAGATAAAAGTGCCTAGATCCAGACCAGCCTGGCCAACATAGTAAAACCCCATCTCTGCGAAAAATACAAAAATTACCCAGGTGTTGTGGCAGGTACCTGTAATCCCAGCTATTCAGGAGGCTGAGGCACGAGAATCGCTTGAACCCGAGAGGTGGAGGTTGGAGTGAACTGCACTCCAGCCTGAGTGACAGAGCAAGACTCCATCTCCAAAAAAAAAAAAAAGTGCTTAAACCTATCTTGGAATTTTTCTGGTGCTCAAGGGAAGAAGGGGCTATTTTATCACAAGAGCTTTGAGAGATAAGACCTCTGAGGCCAGATATCAGGATACAGAAGACCTGACCTGCTAGTCTTTACATTACATCCCTTGGGAAATTATTTGATCCAAACAAGCTCATTTCTACCAATAAAAAATGAGGAGCATATTTCCTATCTCATTGGGTTTTGGATGGATTAAATGAGATAGCCCTGTTCCTAATTTATAGTAAATACTGAAAAAAAAAGAACTTTTAAAGCTTTCCCTTAAATTTTTCCAATCTTCTGGATAAACTCTTCTGCTTCTTACAGTTACAATCCATAAAGAACAAAATATCATTAGAACTATAGAAGTTGCTGTAATTTTGGGGAGGGCCTACAAAAATTTCATCACTTTCTTTATTCCCCAGATAAAGGTAGTTGGCAGTAATAATATTTTAAAATTCACAAAACTAAAGTCACTATGCAGATCCCATCCTTACTGAATCCAGAGAAAAAGAAAATCATACCTAGACTGGGTGCTAATTTTCTCCAGGTTTTTTTTAAGTGCAGCTGAAAGTCTCATCCTATGAGAGGGAAAAAGCTTGCATTATAAAACATGGATAACATTTGTGGTACATTAAAAAAAATCCAAACATGACAAAGATTGATTTCCCTTCAAATATACATAAAACAGAAGTAGGTTTTAAAATATTATTACATGAGAAATACTTTGAGAAATAAAACATAGAAATATGAAATAACACCAAGATGGATAGGGTTGTTGCATGTGGGTCTACACTGCCAGAATGAGGGGCCAGGTGAATCTGAAACCTGGCCTGAGCTGAATGAGTTCTCTGAACCATCTACTTTCAGTGGAAGGATTAAGCCACTAAAAAGATCAGGATGGGCCTGAAATGAAGGACTTAGGGAATACAAAACCATATACGACTATAAACTTTAAAACATTTTTTTTTTGAGAGGGAGTCTTGCTCTGTCACCCAGGATGGAGTATATAGTGGCGTGATCTCGGCTCACTGCAACCTCTGCCTCCCAGGTTTAAGTGATTCTCCTCCCTCAGCCTCCCTAGCAGCTGGGATTATAGGCAAATGCCACCACACCTGGCTACTTTTTGTACTTTTAGTAGAGACAGGGTTTTGCCATGTTGGCCAGGCTGGTCTTGAACTCCTGACCTCAGGTGATCCACATGCCTTGGCCTCCTAAAGTGCTGGGATTACAGGCGCGTGCCACTGCACCCAGCCATGTTAGGTGTATTAAATGCATTTTTCACTTACCATATTTTCAATTTACAATGGGTTTATCAGGACCTAATCCCATTGCAAATTGAGAAGCATCTGTAATGCAAATTTTCTCCCAGGGCTCAAAATCTGTGGGACCACGCTGAGTTTGTGTAATCCCAGCATTTTGGGAAGGCTGAGGTGAGAAGAGTGCTTGAGCCTAGGAGTTCAAGACCAGCCTGGGCACAGTGAGACCTCCTCTCTATAAAAAATTTTAAAAATTAGCCAAGCGTGGTTGTGCATGCCTGTAGTCCCAGCTGCTCCAGAGGCTGAGGTAGGAGGACTACTGGAGCCTGGGAGGTTGAGGCTACAGTGAGCAGTGATCATGTTGCTGTACTCCAGCGTGGGCAAGAATGAGACCTTGTCAAATTAAAAAACAGTAATAATAATAAAATTTTCGTGTGACCATTATCTAATCATCACTGTGCTTGACTAATTCATTCAGCCCAGTTAAAAGTTTCCCTCCACTTTGCCCTCACACCCATTTTGCATTCAGTTCACAATGTTATATTTAAAATGTAATAATTACCTGTCTAATGCAAGCTTTTTTATCTCAAAAGAAATTTTCACCTCTTCAATTTCATTTTCCAGGTCTTCAATTTTACTATCAAAGAAACATGAGCAAAAGAATATCAGCAATATCAGAAAAAGACATTATTGAAATAAATGTATGAAGTAAGCCCTTAAAAAAGTAAAACACTTCTATCTAAATAAAAGTGTTCTACAGGCTCAATATACCAATGTGTATTTACACATTTAGCAAACTAATGCCCCTGAGCTACTTCACTCAGTATCTTATAAAAAGGGAGGCCAGAAAGTTCTAACGTGATCACTTGTGTACATACAAATCTCCATCCCAAATTAACAACTTCCCAATATATGCATCACAAGTTATCTGAAAAAATAAAGGAAAGGAAAAAGAAAAACAATGTTATAGCATAAAAAATGAGATTATGACCAGGCTCAGTGGCTCTTGCCTATAATCTCAGAACTCTGGGAGGCCAAGGTGGAGGATTACTTGAGGCCAGGAATTTGAGAACAGCCTGGGCAACAAAGTGAGGCCCCATCTCTACAAAAATTTTTTTTTTTGCCGGGCGCGGTGGCTCAAGCCTGTAATCCCAGCACTTTGGGAGGCCGAGTCGGGCGGATCACGAGGTCAGGAGATCGAGACCATCCTGGCTAACCCGGTGAAACCCCGTCTCTACTAAAAAATACAAAAAACTAGCCGGGCGAGGTGGCAGGCGCCTGTAGTCCCAGCTACTTGGGAGGCTGAGGCAGGAGAATGGCATAAACCCGAGAGGCGGAGCTTGCAGTGAGCTGAGATCCGGCCACTGCACTCCAGCCTGGGCGACAGAGCGAGACTCCGTCTCAAAAAAAAAAAAATTTTTTTTTTGAGGTAGAGTTTCACTCTTGTTGCCCAGGCTGGAGTGCAATGGTGTGATCTCGGCTCACTGCAAACTCTGCCTCCTGGGTTCAAGCAATTCTCCTGCCTTAGCCTCCCGAGTAGCTGGGATTACAGGCATGCGCCACCACACCCAGTTAATTTTGTATTTCTAGTAGAGACAGCGTTTCTCCATGTTGGTCAGGCTGGTCTTGAACTCCCGACCTCAGGTGATCCACCCACCTAGGCCTCCCAAAGTGCTGGGATTACAGGCATGAGTCACCGCGCCCGGCCCCAAAATATTTTTTAAAAAGTCAGGTTTGGTACAATGAGCCTGTAGTTCCAGCTACTCAGGAGGCTGAGGCCAGTGGATCCTTTGAACCCAAGAGGTCGTGGCTTCAATGAACTATGATCACATCACTGTACTCCAGCCTGCGTGATAGTGAGACTCCATCTCTAACAACAAAATAATAGAAAATATGATTAAATCTTAGTAAAGACCATAAACAAAATTTTAAAATATAACATACGCTTCGATTTGCTTTTCTTGCATAATTTGTTCTGGAGTTTTTTCTTCATCTGCAAATAAACAATTTTTTGAAGTTACTAACATTTTAGAAAGGTGCTGTCCAAAAGGAATATAATATAAGCCACAAGGGCAAAATACATCATTTAAAATGTCATTTCCACATTACAGAAAAGAAACAGTGAAATTTAATTTTAATATACTTAACCCAATAGATCAAAAATATTATTTCAATGTGCAGTCAGTTTAACATTAGTAATGACATATTTCACATTATTCTGTCTGTATTTTACATTTACGGCCCATCTCAATGATGACTAACCACACTGCTTGAGTCCAGGAGTTTGAGACCAGCCTGGGAGACATAGCGAAACTCTGTCTCTACTGAAAATTAGCCAGGCACGATAGTGCATGCCTGTAGTCCCCGCTACTCGGGAGGCTGAGGTGGCAGGATAGATTGAGCCCACGAGGTGGGGGTTGCAGTGAGCCAAAATCTTACTAGCTACACTCCAGCCTGGGTCGCTGAGCGAGATCATCTCACTATGATGATGGAAATGTTTCATATCTATGCTACCCCATAGGGTAGCCACTGGTCACATGTGGCAACTGAGCATTTGATATACACTTAATTTTAAATTTTATTTCATTTTAATTAGCTTTAAAAAGTCACATGTGTGGCCAGCAGTGGTGGCTCATGCCTGTAATCCCAGTACTTTGGGAGGCCGAGGCAGGTGGATCACCTGAGGTCAGGAGTTAAGAGACCAGCCTGGCCAACATGGTGAAACCCTGTCTCTACTAAAAATACAAAAAATTAGCCAGGCGTGGTGGCAGGTGCCTGTCTTCCCAGCTACCCGGGAGGCTGAGGCAAGAGAATCCCTTGAACCCAGGAGGCGGAGGTTGCACTGCCGAGATCGAGTCATTGCACTCCAGCATGGGGGACAAGAGCAAGACTCCATCTCAAAAAGAAAAAAAAAAAAAAAAGCCACTTGTGGCTATTGGTTACCCCATCGGACAACACAACTCTAGAAGACAATTCCACAGTAACAAAAATCAAATTGGTCGTTGCTGGAGGAAAGGGTGGGGACTCACTGTGGCACATGGGATTATTTTGGTATGAAAATGTTCTGGCCAGGCACAGTGGCTCACGCCTGTAATCCCAACACTTTGGGAGGCCGAGGTGGGTGAATCACAAGGTCAGGAGTTCAAGATCTGCCCGGCCAAGGTGGTGAAACCCCGTCTCTACTAAAAATACAAAAATTAGCTGGCCATGGTGGCAGGCGCCTGTAATCCCAGCTACTTGAGAAGCTAAGGCAGTGAACCCGGGAGGCGGAGGTTGCAGTGAGCCGAGATCTCGCCACTGCACTCCAAGACTCCATCCAAAAAAAAGAAAAAAGAAAAAAAGAAAATGTTCTGTATCTTTTTTTTTTTTTTGGGAGACAGGGTCTCCTTCTGTTACCCAGGCTGGAGTGCAGTGGTGTGATCTTGGCTCACTGCAGCCTTGATATTCCAGGCTCAAACAATCCTCCTACCCCAGCTGGGTGGGACTACAGGCACATGGTACCACATCTGGCCAATTTGATTTTTTAGAGATTGGGTCTCACTATGTTTCCCAGGCTGGTTGTCCTGGGCTCAAGCAATCATCTCGTCTCGGCCCCTCAAAGTGCTGGGATTACAGATTGATCCACCACACTCAGCTGAAAATGTTCTGTATCTTGATTGTGGTAGTGATTATGCAGATTTAGAAATTTGTTAAAACTCATCAAACTGTACCCTTAAAATAGATTCCTTTATTGTAAAAAACAATCCTTTAACCAATAAAGTCTGTCATATATATATATATATATATATATATATTTTTTTTTTTTTTTTTTTTTTTGAGACAGAGTTTTGCTCTTGTTGCCCAGGCCAGAGTGCAGTGGCGCAATCTCGGGTCACTGCAACCTCCGCCTCCCGGGTTCAAGCGATTCTCCTGCCTCAGTCTCCTGAGTAGCTGGGATTACAGGCATGCACCACCACACCCGGCTAATTTTGTATCTTTAGTAGAGATGGGGTTTCTCCATGTTAGTCAGGCTGATCTCGAACTCCTGACCTCAGCTGATCCACCTGCCTCGGCCTCCCAAAATGTTGAGATTACAGGCGTGAGCTACCATGCCTGGCCACATATATTTTTTTTAAACAGTAAAAGAATCAATACTTATTTCTCTATTGATTGCTTGACAGTCTCACTCTATTGCCCAGTGGAGTGGAGTACAGTACAGTGACTCAATCACGAGCCCAGGAGTTGGATGCTGCAGTGAGTCCCAGCTGGGACTAGAGGTATGTATCACCATATCCAGTTAAGTTTTTTCATTTTTGTAGGGACGAAGTCTCACTTTGTTGCCCAGGCCAATCTCAAACTCTTAGCTTCAAGTGATCTTCCTGTCTTGGCCTCTAAAAGAGCAGATAGTCAATTTTAGATAAACATCTTCTTTCAAAGGCTACAACTAAACTTCCTGTGACCTGCCTTACATCTGTCTTCTCCTAGGTACAGAAATTCTACAATGTTAACTAAATCTAGGTTTTGGATGTCATAATCCCTTAAAAATGGTACTAGCTATACAGAGAACAAAAAGACTATTGGAACGTAAACTCTTCTCATTTGGATCTGAGCTCTAAAATCATCTTCTTAGAGAAGCCATCCCTATGAAAAGAAGCCCCTCCCTCTTATCATGCCTTTGTTTCCTTCACCATACTTACCATACTTCATAAATATCTTGCATGCTTACCAGTTTTGCTACACTAGAACATATATAAACAATTTTTGGTAAAGTTAATTTTATTTTTCCTCGAGAACTGTTAATCATCAAATTCACAAAATCTTATTTGAGGCCAGGTGTGGTGGCAAAACCCTGTTTTTACAAAAAAATACAGAAAATTAGTCAGGCGTGGTAGCATCTGCCTGTGGTCCCAGTTACTTGGGAGGCTGAGGTGGGAGGACTGCTGGAGCTCAGGAGGCTGAGGCTTCAGTACACTGAAGACTGTGCCACTGCATTCCAGCCTGGGTGACAGCAAGATCCTGTCTCAAAAAAACAAACAAACAAACAACAAAACCCTAATTTGAAAATGAAAATACTTACTTGCATCAATCATTGATTTATATTCTAAGAGCTGTTGTTTTGTCTGTGCTCTCAGCCTGAAAACAGATAAAGAGAATATAAAGTCACATATTTATTAAGGTTTTACTCATTACCGTATGATGAACCAACTCATTCTTTTTCGGAAGCTGACATCACAAAATAAATACAAATAATTAAACTCATAATTACAAACTTCTAATTTGGTGCCATTTTATTTAAAATGGGTATAAAGAACTTCAAGGCCTCAGAGGAAGACACAAAGTAGAATACACTGGGAAAACAGCATTTGTGAGGAAAAGTTAAAAAATTGGCATTTAAGATGATTTTTAATAGGCCAGACTGAACTAAGGATGCAATACAAAGAAGAGACCAAAATGATTAAACCCCAAACCACTGTAATTATTTACAAATACAGGTGTTATCAGGAGATACAGAAAAATAACAAAGATACTAATCCTTGGATTCACATAGTTTTTCAGTTGTTCTATAAATCCAAAAATCATACATAAGTAGAAAAACAATGAGTAAATGGTAATTTAAGATGACAGCAAGGGTAAGGAGGAAAAAGCAATAAAAAAGAAATAGGTATGTTTTCGTTATTCAAAACATTTAAAGAAGAAAAAAGGTAAGTAAATTTTTTTTTTTGTTTGAGTCAAGAGTCTCGCTCTGCTGCTCAGGCTGGAGTGCAATGGCACAATCTTCGGCTCACTGCAACCTCTGCCTCCCAAGTTCAACCAATTATCTTGCCTCAGCCTCCTGAGTAGCTGGGATTACAGGAGCCTGCCACCACGCCCAGCTAATTTTTACAGTTTTAGTAGAGATGGGGTTTCACCATATTGGCCAGGCTGGTCTCGAACTCCTTACCTCGTGATCTGCCCACCTCAGCCTCCCAAATAAATTATATTTACAAAATAGTTCACACTTGCATGACAGTTTCATAATTCCGAAACTTTTGACTTTATTTTCTTATTTATTTATATTTCCTGAGACAGAGTCTTGCTCTGTCACTCAGGCTGGAGTGCAGTGGCACAATCTCCGCTCAATGCAACCTCCGCCTCCTGGGTTCAAGTGATTCTCCTGCCTCAGTCCCTCAAGTAGTTAGGATTACAGGTGCGCGCCACCACGACCAGCTAATTTTTGTATTTTTAGTAGAGACGGGGTTTCACCATGTTGGCCATGGTTGGCCAGGCTGGTTTGAACTCCTGACTTCAGGTGATCCATCTGCCTGGGCCTCCCAAAGTGTTGAGATTACAGGCGTGAGCCACTGCGCCTGACCCATGATGATTTTTTTAAAACCACCTTTTTTTATGATATAGAACAGAGGACCGCACATTTTTTTCTGTAAAGGACCTGATGGCAAATTTTTTAGGGTTTGTGAGTCACATGGTCTCTGTTTTAGCTACTCAATTCCACCCTTGTGCAGGAAAGTTGTATTCCAATAAAACTATTTATGGAAACTGAAATTTTAATTTCTGATAGAGTTCATGTATTATGAAATATTTTTATGATCTTTTCCCTGCAACCACTTAAACATAAAAACTATTCTCAGCTTGAGTGGTCACACAAAAATTGGCAGTTAGGCAGATTTGGCCCAGGACCTTCTCCTGCTCACTGGTTTGGAAGAGGATGCCCCTTCTCATCGAATCTTTCCCAGCAACCGCTTAGTGGAAAAGTATAAACATCATCTGCTTAGTAGAATATATAACATATAAAGCTTCTGGGTTACGAAGGGGTCGTAGTTCTAAAAGAAAAGGTAGGGACACCTTCCTTCCAATTTAGCTCTGGCATTCAACTTGCCTGTAAACCAAGCTGGGGGAGGGGTGGAACAGGAGGAGAAATTACAGCTTCTAAGGACTTTCCAAGGGCCCGGGGCACTGTGCTCAACACTTTCCTAGACTGTCTCATTTAACCCTTATAACCTCTCTATCAAGGGGTCATTTTTCTCTCCTTTTCGCTGATGAAGAAAGAGCTTCAAGAGTTTAAGTGAATGAGGCTGTCACGGAGGCATGACGTGACCGAGCGTGAATTCGAACCCTAGACCTTCTGAGCAAAGGGCGGAGTTCCGGGCCACAACGCCCACTTGGCCCCGGCTGAGGCGGCCAAAGGGAACAACCTGAGGAGCAGGGTCATGCGGTCCTCGCTGCGCGCCGCCTGGGCGCCGGCGACCTGCGGCGGCTCGCCTGCCCCGCCTTCCTCTCCGGAGTCCGCGGGCTCGTCGGCGGCTTCCATCTGGGGCTGTTCCTCCATTGCTGGTTGAGGGGAAAGGTTACCACTCAGCAGAAAAAGGCCGTTGAGAAGACGTCGCTTTTCCCGCCACTAAATTGACGCCGGGGAAAGGCCCGAGGGCCCCGCCTCTTCCGCCCAGGGCCCCACCCTTTCCGCCTGGGTTTTCGGTTGCCGCGGCTAGTTCTCGCTCCTCTTTCATCCGGGCTCTGCTGGTGAAAATAACTGCAGACCACTGGTAAAAAGTTGGAATAGCTTTCGTTAAGTGTCGGATATGTAGAGTGCTGAGCTAGGGGCTGGACTAGAGACGTTGGGACACCTCCCAGGAACAGCAGCCTCGGGGGGAAAATCTGACCTAAGTGGTCATTCGGCCTTGGTTCTGGGACACGTGAGTGCGGCCACAGCTGTGTGTTCATCCATCTGGGCACTTTTCCGTCCGCTGCCTTTGAAGATGGGTGTGCCCGGCAGGCTGTGCAAGATAAACATTAGAGGGTTGCTTAGAAGACTTTTTGACCTGAACCCATGAGGTGCATACCTTTCGTTTGGCGGGGAAACCAGTGGCTTCTGAAGTTCAGGGATATCCACAGGCCACAAGTGCGAGGCATTGCAGACATTTCGAACCCAGACTTCCAGCCTGAAGACATCCACACGCTTTAAATTTCTTACACTGATACTTCATTCTGTCATTATGATTGGCACCACTCGTAACTGAGAGTTGGGTGCCCTCAAGTTTTGAGTGTCTGCAGGGTACCTTTGAGCTTTCTTAGCTGTGTAGTGAGTTGGGGGGAATGGACAAAATGAAGGACAAATGACTGATTTGTAGTTTTTCATTAGAGTCGGCCGTGTAAGGGACACAACCCTTCCCGCACAAGCACAGCAGCTTGAACCTCTTTGAACAAAAGAGTCGAGAGTTCTTTTACAGCTAAGTACTCCCTAGTTAATCTTGATCCTACTGTGCTGTTTTCTTCCTCTCCATTATTAATGTAATACGACTCCTGATAAAAGTTAAATTCGCCGGGAGTGGTGGCTCACCCCTGCACTCCCAGCACTTTGGGGGCTGAGACGGGTGGATCACCTGAAGTCAGGAGTTCGATACCAGCCAGGCTAACATGGTGAAACCCCATCTCTACTAAAAATGCAAAAAAGACTGTCTCAAAAATTTTTTTATAAAAATAATAATGCAGTGGTTATCCAACGTGAGAATTCGGAGGAGACCTTGTTAAAACACATTTCTGGGTGTCCCTAGGATTCTGATTTGCATTTGTAGCAAGTTCCCAGGTAAAGTTGCTGTTGCTTATTGATGAGGACACTTTGAGAACCACCACCATAAAGGGTCATAAAACGCAATTTTAAAAAAAAACCCCACAGTAAAACAAAAAACGGTGGGTGTAAGGCCTGGAATGGTGGCTCATGCCTATAATCTTAGCACTTTGGGAAGGCAAGGCAGGCAGATCACTTGAGGCCAGGAGTCTGAGACCAGCATGGCCAACATCGTGAAACCTCATCTGTACTAAAAATACAAAAATTAATCGGGCACAGGGGCACAAGCTTGTAATCCCAGATACTCCGGAGGCTGAGACAGGAAAATCGCTTGAACCAGGGAGGCTGAGGTTGCAGTGAGCCAAGATAGCACCATTGCACTCCAACCTGAGTGATAGAGTGAGACCCTGTCTGAGGCGGGGGGAGGGTGGGTGTGGGTAGGGAGCTATCCATTAGAAAGTCAATAGTAAAGGTAGAAAAGATGATAGAAAACTACCATATTACCAGGGAGATAAATGTCAGGAAAGTATAATTAATGAGTGCTAAAACTAGAGACCAGCACTTTATAGGAATGTTACAGCAAATGGTTACCACCTTAACCAGATGGTCAAAATTGGTATCAAAAATCGTGTAACAATCTGATGTCTGACCCTAATATAATGCATGAATTGTACAGATCACCTTTATTGCCATGTGTAACCTGAACTTTGCTGAAAACATGAGACAAGAAATCCAGAATGAGGAACATTCTACAAGACAATTCATGTCTATGTCCTGAAACACAGAAAGCAGGGTGGTGGTTCTATATGGAAAAACAAACCATGATTGAATCTTGGATTGGAAAAGGAAAGAAAAAAAAGCCCTAATACATTTTTGGAACAGTTGAGGAAATTTGAATGTGTTCTGCATGTTAGATATTAAATTACCAGTTTTCTTAGTGTGATAGGATTGTGGTAGGGTTTTGTTTTGTTTTGTTTTTTTTAGAGTCACTGTCTCACTCAGGTTGAGCCACAGGCCACCATGCCTGGCTAATTATTTTTCGTAGAGACGGTATCTTGCTCTGTTGCCCAGGCTGGTCTTAAACTCCTGGCCTCAATTGATCCGCCTATCCTGACCTCCCAAAACACTGTGATTATACCGCCAGGTGCAGTGGCTCAGGCCAGTAATCCCAGCACTTTGGGAGGCTGAGGCAAGAGGATCTGTCGAGCCCAGGAGTTTGAGACCAGTCTGGCCAAGATTTAAAACAAAAACAATCATGGGATTACAGATGTGAGCCACTGTGTTAGCAGAAAGATGCCTTTTTAACATGCCACATCTTCAGTAACATTAAAAATCACCAGGCACACTTGGTTTCTCAACCAAGGAAAGCACATACCTTTCCTTCCTTTCTTTACTTTCCTTTTTTCCTTACTGTTCTAAAGCTTTTTAATAAACTTTTACTCCTGCTCTGAAACTTGCCTGGGTCTCTCCTGCCTTACGCCCCTCAGTCAAATCCTTTCTTCTGAGGAGCAAGAATTGAAAATTCTAAAAACAAAAAAACGTCAAGCTGACAAAAAAAAAAAATCTCAAAAGATACTGACTGGCCAGGTGCAGTGGCTCACGCCTTTAATCCCAGCACTTTGCGAGGCTGCGGTGAGCGGATCACAAAGTCAGCAGTTCGAGACCAGCCTGACCGACATGGTGAAACCCCATCTCTACTAAAATTACAAAAATTAGCCAGGTGTGGTGGCATACGCCTGTAACCCCAGCTACTCAGGAGGCTGAGGCGGGAGAATCGCTTGAATCTGGGAGGCAGAGGTTGCAGTGAGGCAAGATCAGGCCACTCACTCCAGCGTGAGCAACAGAGACTCCTCCTCAAAAAAAAAAAAAAAAAAAGAAAAAGAAAAAGATATTGACTGGCCAGGTGCGGTAGCTCATGCCTGTAATGCCTGTAATCCCAACACTTTGAGAGGCCGAGGCTGGCGGATCACTTGAGGTCAGTAGTTGGAGACCAGCCTGGCCAACATGGTGAAACCCCATCTCCACTAAAAATACAAAAATCAGCTAGACGTGGTGGTGAACGCCAGTAATCCCAGCTACTCCGGAGGCTGAGGCAGGAGAATCGCTTGAACCAGGGAGGCAGAGGTTGCAATGAGCCGAGATTGTGCTAGTGCACTACAGCCTGGGCAACAGAGGGAGACTGTTTTAAAAAAAACAAAGTACACACGGTGGTATAGGGATGGAGCCGGGTTACAGAATTTTCTGGGGTTTAAATACCCTCTAGAGGTTTCCTATTGGCCACTTGGTATACAGCCCGTGCAAATAGGGTCCCATAATTAGTTTGATTGGTTGCAGAAAGCAGCCAATCAGTGGTACTTTCAATTTTCCTCTGCCACACAGAAAAAGGGGTAGGGGGGTTTCCAAAGGGAGTACCCTCAGGTCCGTTTGTTACTTAAGTGTGGAAAGTTGGGGTTTTCCTTTTGATTTAGTTCTAGGACGTCAGCGTGCATCTGCCTTAGGTTCCCTGCCTCCAGGTCCTGTCCTATTGCCTCACTTTCATGACTAAAATATAGAAAATATTTAAACTAGAAAATAAAAGGGGATGGTGGGGAAAAAAAGCTGAAACCACGAAATAAAAATGGTAGAAATGGTAACACCAAAAACTAGTTCTTTCAAAAGGCCAATGAAATAACCCCATGGGCCAGTCTCATTAGAAAACAAAAGTACTCAACATCACTACTGAGAAAGAAGATATAACTGCACATTCAGAAGAGATTAATTTTGTCATGGTCCTCTACAGCCGTAACTTTAAAAATCTAGAACGGATTTTTTTTTCCTTTTTTTTTTTTTCCTTTTTTTTCTACGAGGCACACTCTTGCTGTGTCATCCAGCTTGGAGTGCAGTAGCACGAGCATAACTCATTACAGCCTCAAACTCCTGGGTTCTAGTGATCCTCCTGCCTCAGCATTCTAAGTAGCTAGGTCTACAGGCACATACCACCATGACTGCTGGGCTAATTTTTTAAATTTTATAATTTTTTTTTTTTCTAATAGAGACAGGGTCTCACCTGACTCAGCCTCCTAAAGTGCTAAGAGTCTATTTTTTTAATATTTTTTTAGAGACAGGGTCTCACTGTGTTACCCACGTCAGTCTTGAACTCCTGGCCTCAAGCAATCCTCCTGCCTCAGCATCCCAAAGTGCTAGGATTATAGGCATGAGCCACCAAACATGGACATAATTTTCTATTAATGTAGAGGAGGAACATCTCTAAAAGAGTGATTGTATCATACAGAGAAAAATCTTTAGAAGAGACCAAAAAAGCATGGAATATCTACCATTTTATTTTTTTGAGACAGGGTCTCACTCCCACACCCAGGCTGGAGTGCAGTCGTGCGATCTTGGCTCACTATAGTTTTGACTTCCCTAGCTCAGGTGATTCTCCCACCTCAGCCTCCTGGGTAGCTGGGACCACAGGCGCACTCCAGTACGCCTGGCTAATTTTTGTGTAGATGGGATTTCGCCATGTTGCCCAGGCTGGTCTCAAGCTTCTGGGCTCAAGCAACGCACCTGCCTCAGTCTTGCAAAATGCTGGGATTACAGGTGTGAGCTACTGTGCCTGGCCTATTATATTTAATAGCTCCAGGACAAACGACTTCACTGTTTAATTTAGTTAGTTTCCAATGAATGAATGGGGACTTCAAATGATTGTAAGGCTTTAAAAAGATGAAACTGGCCGGAGTGGTGGCTCACGCTTGTAGTCTCAGCACTTCGGGAGGCCTGATCACCTGAGGTCTGGAGTTCGAGACCAGCCTGACCAACATGAAGAAACCCCGTCTCTACTAAAAATACAAAAATAGCAGGGTATGGTGGTGCATGCCTGTAATCCCAGCTACTCGGGAGGCTGAGGCAGGAGAATCGCTTGAACCCGGGAGGGAGAGGTTGCAGTGAGCCGAGATGGTGCCATTGCACTCCAGCCTGGGCAACAAGAGTGAAACTCCGTCTCAAAAAAAATTAAATAAAATCAAAAAAGATGAAATCGGCCAGGCACGGTGGCTCACGCCTGTAATCCCAGCACTTTGGGAGGCCAAGGCGGGCAGATCATGAGGTCAGGAGATAGAGATCATCCTGGCCAACATGGTGAAACCCCATCTCTGCTAAAATAACAATTTAAAAAGCTGGGCGTGGTGGCATGTGCCTGTAGTCCCAGCTACTTGGGAGGCTGAGGCAGGAGAATCACTTGAACCCGGGAGGCAGAGGTTGCAGTGAGCCAAGATGGCGCCACTGCACTCCAGCCTGGTGACACAGCAAGACTCCATCTCAAAAGAAAAAAAAAAAAAAAAAAGACACCAGACAACAGTAGCAACAAAAATCAAGCAAAGTTTCCATGAGCTGCAGAAATTTCTTTTTTTCTTTTATTTTCTTTTTTCATTTTTTTTTAGACAGAGCCTTGCTCTGTCGCCCAGGCTGGAGTGCAGTAGCGCAATCTCAGCTCACTGCAAGCTCCGCCTCCCGGGTTCACTCCATTCTCCCGCCTCAGCCTCCCTAGTAGCTGGGATTACAGGCGCCCACCACCATGCCCGGCTAATTTTTTTTTTTTTGTATTTTTAGTAGAGACAGGGTTTCACCATGTTAGCCAGGATGGTCTCAATCTCCTGACCTTGTGATCCGCCCGCCTCGGCCTCCCAAAGAGCTGGGATTACAGGCATGAGCCACCACACCCGGCCTGAGCTGCAAAAATTTCTAAGTGAAATATTAGCAGATTAAATGTATATACCATAAGCAAGAATTCATTCCACCATCGGAGATCTCTAATGTGGAATACTATATGAAGAGAAAAACCAAAATGATACCATATGCTGAAAATGTTAATGGAATTCCACAACCTTGCCTATTAAAAACTCCACAGTTTAAACACAGCATGGAATCAAAATTTAAAAAATAAACGATGTAGTATTTCTATCATTTGATATTTTTTGCTATTTAATTGGTCTTTATCGTTTCTATTACTGTGTGACATCAATTCAGGGACAGGAAACCATCTATTATCACTGATTATTTTGGAGATTCTAATATTATAAAATAGAAAGGTGAAACTTTTGGATTTAAGGACTAGAAAATTCTCCAATAAAAATAAGAAGGAAAACTGATGTCAACTGGATAAACAATTAAATAAAAATAGAAGTGGGGGTCAGGCGTAGTGGCTCACGTCTATAATCCCGGTGCTTTAAGAGGCCGAAGTGGGAGAGTGACTTGAGGCCAGGAGTTTGAGACCAGCTTGGACAACATAGTGAGACCCCATCTCTATACAAAAAAGAAAAAAAAAAATTAGCCAAATGTGGTTAGCCCACCTGTAGTCATAGCTACCTAGAAAGCTGAGGTTGTAGAATAGCTGGAGGTCCGGGCTGCAGTGCACTATGATTGCGCCATTGTACTCCACCCTAGGTGACAGAGTGAGACCTTGTCTCTATTTAAAGCAAAACAGGAGTGGGATACACTACTAGGGAGATGAAGAAAAAAATTTTAAAAAACAGAAGTGGGAAATATATCCCGTTCACAATAACGACAAAAGGCATAAATCCAACCATAAATTTAAGACAGTTGCAGAAGTATACAATTAAATTCCAACGTTAAGAAGGGCATGCAACAAGGATTGATGAAGTTTCTAGATGTTAAGACAATATGTCAGTCTGTCCCAAGCTAGTACATAATGTATAGTCAAAATCTCAAAGGAGGGCCAAGTGTGGTGGGTCACGCCCGTAATCCCAGTACTTTGGGAGGCCGAGGTGGGTGGATCACGAGGTCAGGAGATGGAGACCATCCTGGCTAACACGGTGAAACCCCGTCCCTACTAAAAATAGAAAAAATTAGCCGGGCGTGGTGGCGGGGCCTGTAGTCCCAGCTACTCCAGAGGCTGAGGCAGGAGAATGGCGTGAACCCGGGAGGCGGAGCTTGCAGTGAGCCGAGATCACCCACTGCACTCCAGCCTGGGCAACAGAATGAGACTCTGTCTCAAAAAAAGAGAAAAGTTCGAGCCCAGACTGCCAACGTGGTGAAACCCTATCTCTACTAAAAATACAAAAAATTAGCCAGGCATGGTGGCCTGTGCCTGTAGTCCCAGCTACTCGGGAGGCTGAGGCAGGATAATCGCTTGAACTGGGGAGGCAGAGGTTGCAGTGAGCCAAGATAGCGCCACTGCACTCCAGCCTGGGCAACAGAACGAGACTCCGTCTCAGAAAACAAACAACAAAAAAAACTCAAAGGAACTTTTTGGTAACTACACAATTTTAAAGTTTTTATAGGAAAGTGTTTGGTAGTACCCCCATATATTTGGTAAGCCTTATCTTAACTGATAAACTGGTAAAACTGTTATCACAGGAAAAAACAAGATCAGGGAAGAATAGATGGGCATTGAAGATATTTCAAGTTGGACGAGGGTTTCAGTCATGGCACTGGCATAAACGGGTATCCATCTGGAAGAAATTCTACTTCACACCACATATAAAAATTGCCTACTTAGGGCTGGGTGCGGTGGCTCACGCCTGTAATCCCAGCACTTTGGGAGGCAGAGGTGGGCGAATCACGAGGTCAGGAGATCGAGACCATCCTGGCTAACACTGTGAAACCCCATCTCTACTAAAATTACAAAAAATTAGCTGGCCATGGTGGCTCACGCCTGTAATCCCAGCACTTTGGGAGGCTGAGGCAGGCAGATCACCTGAGATCAGGAGTTCAAGACCAGCCTGACCAACATGGAGAAACCCCGTCTCTACTAAAAATACATAATAAGCTGGGTGTGGTGGTGCATGCCTGTAATCTCAGCTACTCAGGAGGCTGAGGCAGGAGAATCGCTTGAACCCAGGAGGCGAAGGTTGCAGTGAGCCGAGATCACGCCATTGCACTCTAGCTTGGCAACAGAGCGAGACTGTCGCAAAAACAAAAAAAATTACTCATGTGTTGCTTAATGATTGGGATATGGTTTGAGAAATGTGTCATTAGGTGATTTTATTGTTCAAACACCAGAGTATACTCACACAAATCTAGATGGCATAACCTACTGCACTCCTAGGCTATATAGTATAGCTTATAGCTCCTAGGCTACAAAACTATACACCATGTTATTGAATACTGCAGGCAATTATAACATCAGTATTTGTGTATCTAGGCACAAGGTACAGTAAAAGTATGGCATCATAATCTTATGGGACCAATATGTATGTAGTCTGTCTTTGACCAAAATGTTCATGGGGCACATGACTATCTGTACTATGTAATTTAATGCACAAATACAGGTAGGCTTATGTATGTTGACAATAATTGTTACGTATATAGAATAAACCACATTTTTAAAAAACCCATAAAAATTAATATGCACATCTATATACAAGGCATGGAAGGATAAATCCGTAATTGTTGATGTCAGATGGGTGGGATTTAGAAAGAGCCTAAGGAGGGGGTAAATTAACTTTTAAAAAAGATACCTTTTGTATTTGAGTATTGTTTTATTAAACAAAACACAAAACCAAAATGAAAACTGGGCTTAGAATATAAAGTTCTCATTTTTCAAAGTGAAAGTTTGAAGATACTAGCTAAAGTTGATAACTTAAATAGTGGTAAAAGTAAATAACTTAGAATTATGGCAGCAATCACCAGAAGAAACAGAATTCTAACAGGGTGACTAGGGATTTGGTGGTAGACTTTTACTTTAAAATAGAACTACGTAGCAGATTCTCCACGATGACTTGGCTTACATGCAGTATGGCCTATGGATGTAAAATTTTCAAATACTTCCATCACCTTCAGTAATTCATATTAATAAAGTAAAAGCCAGGTACATAAAACAAGAACCAAGTATATAAACATACACATTGATTGGATCCCCAGGTAAACCAAAAGCAGTTTTTAAAAATATTCCCCACCATACCTTTTAAGACAACTTTTCCGCTATCCTACAGTAGCAAGTAACCACATTCAAATTAGTTAAGCTATAAAAAAGTAAAAGGGGCCATAAGCTTTATTAAAAGGAAATGCAACAGTAATATGTACAGATGGCACATGGTGCCAATTTTATTTGTAAATATATACTCCAACTCAAGTTTACAAGTTACACCTTTGCCACAGCCTTGGCTAAATCTTGAACTAGTGCAGAATTCAGTTGTGGTAGAGTGCTGATCTTAGCATGCTTCGACGTGGCATACTTGTTCTTGACAGTCTGGAAGACAAAAGGATAGCAATTAAAGAGGGGAAAACATCACAAGATCCAATGATACAGGTATTCATTTAAAACATTAACTCATTAAAAATAAACCAGGCATTTGCAGGCATTAAGTTTGAATTATTAGACTTTTTTGACATCTTACAATGCCACTATATTGACTCACCATGTGCTTTGTAAGTCCTTGATTTACCATGACTATATTCTTAGCCAGGTGCTGCATAATCAGAAGAAGAGATTCTTCACTATATGACAAGTAATGCTGTAGAGTTGGTGTCTAAGACAACAAAAGTTGATGTTAAAAATGCTCAATCGATAATGATTTTCATAAAGTTTCTAGATGTTTGATGTTATTCAGGAGTGGGGAAGGGATGGGTACTGTATCATTAATTAATATAAGTGAAATGTAAGACAAAGCTAAAGACTCCTCCTTTCCTAGGTGCTCTCATGCTTCTATAGGAACCTCTGCTCAAACACAATTGCACTATTGTAATTGTTGACTTGCCCACCCTAAAACTAGACTCCACTTCCTTGAGGCCAACTTTGTCATAGTTCTATTCTTTTCTTCCCTTTTTTTTTTTTTTGAGATGGAGTCTCACTCCAGGCTGGAGTGCATGGTGTGACCTTGGTTCACTGCAACCTCCGCCTCCCGGGTTCAAGTGATTCTCCTGCCTCAGCCTCCTGAGTAGCTGGGATTACAGGTTTGCACCACTATGCCCGGCTAATTTTTGTATTTTTAGTAGAGATAGGGTTTCACCACATTGGTCAGACTGGTCTTGAACTTTTGAGCTCGTGATCTGCCCACCTTGGCCTCCCAAAGTGCTGGGATTACAGGTGTTAGCCACCACACCCGGCTGCATAGTTCTATTCTTAACACCTAGGGTAGTGCCTGCCACATAGGACAGGCATTTGCTGAATCAATGAATATGAATGTACTATTAGTATGTCATTTGACCTTCAAGTTTCTCCTCTAAGGAGTAAAAGTTGCTCTACCTTTCTCAAAGGGAATACAGTTGAAATTAGGCAAAGAAATGGAAACACTTGACTGGTTGCAATGGCTCACGCCTATAATTCCAACACTTTGGTAAGTGGAAGTGGGTGGATCGCTTGAGCCCAGGGTTTCAAGACCAGCCTGGGTAATATAGGGAGGCGCCATGTCTACAAAAAATATAAAGGTCAGCCTCCAGAGTAGCTGGGACTACAGACATGTGCCTCTCTATATATATATTTGTAAAGATGAGGATTTGCTATGTTGCCCAGGCTGGTGGGCGACTCTTGTAGTTTGTAAGTGTGATGATTGGGTGTTCATGTGAACATGTGGAATGTGCCACCCTCAAACCTTGTTACAACGTGGGCATATTACCCGTCTGACATGAAAAAAATGTAAAAACTAGCCAGAAACCTTCAGTCCCAGCTACTCTGGAGGCTGAGGTTGCAGTGAGTCAAGACTGCATCACTGCACTCCAGCCCAGGCGACAGAGCGAGACCTTGTCTCAAAAACAAAACCATGTGGAAACATTCTAAGATATCTTTTTAAACTATTCCTTCAGTAGATCCCATATTTACGAATCACTTGAATTGCCCTTTAATAACAAAAGTTCTGTATTTACTCAAAACACTCTTTACAATTTAAAAGCTTAGGAGTTCTGTGGGACAGAGCTTACCCATTCACCATTATCCAGAATTTTCAGTGCTAAGCAAAAAGCTCCTGCTGCAATTTGAGAAGGAGGAAAGTGCACCATATCATAGTCCAACATAGTTAGTTCCATCAGGTATTTGGCCAAAGTATGTTGCTCAACATCAACCTGAAACAAAACCCGTGTCAGAGTTTCTTTCAGAAAATTTTCATTTGGCACTAACCTGCATGCCCATATGTATCTTTTAACTACAAATGTTTGTCTACAAACTCTCAAATGCCCACGGAAAGTCATAATATTAACATGCAGCCTGACTAAAAATAAAGAACAACTTTATCTCTTCCCCATGTAGTTAGGTATAATACAGGTCAGTTGAATTCGACTTGCTTGGTCAGCAGCAGTGTTCCCTAATGTACCCATACTGAAAGGTTTCTTAAGAAACCTGTACCTCTCCAATCTTAGATGCTCTCCGAAGGAAGTGCAAAGGTAGAGGCCGACCCAGACCAAAGTTTAAAGCTCTTAGAATCTTCATTTCCATCTGTCTGATTTGGTGCTTAGTGTAAGTATTGTCAGTCACAAAAGCAAAGTCACCAATTTCTGGAGGGTACATTTCTTCATATTTGCTTGCAATGAACATGGCAGTGACACCAACCAGCTGCAGCATCTTCTTAGGCACACAATTATTCTGCAATGGGAATTTCAACACAATGAATAACATGTTTGAAAAGGAGACACAGAGCTATGATGGAGAGGTAGAAAGACATTCTCCCATTGCAAAATCTGAATTAATGATACCATATCCCCCAAGAAAGATTTTAGCTGAAAAAGTCAGTTTCTTTTTTCTTTTTTTTTTTTTTTTTTTTGAGATGGAGTCTCGCTCTGTTGCCCAGGCTGGAGTGCAATGGCGCGATCTCAGCTCACTGCAACCTCCGCCTCCTGTAGCTGGGACGACAGGCGCCCGCCACCACACCCAGCTAAATTTTTGTATTTTTAGTAGAGACTGGGTTTTACTGTGTTAACCAAGATGGTCTCGATCTCCTAACCTTGTGATCCACCCGCCTGCTGGGATTGCAGGCATGAGCCGCCGCGCCCGGCCCAGCCCAAAAACGTCAGCTGCTTATGACTCGACTAGAATCCTGGAAGGGAAAACTTACTGAAATGTTTACCTGCATGAACCGATCAATAATGGAGACAGTCATGTACATGGTCTCCTGCAACAACCTGAATTTCATTTGAACCTGCACTAGCCAGTCAATTAGAATGGCTCTCATGTTTCCAGTGACTTCCCGACCCAGTAGGTATTTTGGTCTGACTGCTTGCTCTTCCTGCAAAAGAAAATGCCGATTATTCTTAGAAACATGACTCCATGTGACACATTTATGTCCAGAAAGATCAGTTAGTTCCTACAGTAAGTAGCACTGGGGCATTTAGAATCTCTATCAGTTCTTTTTTTTTTTTTTGAGACGGAGTCTCGCTCTGTCACCCAGGCTGGAGTGCAGTGGCTCGATCTCGGCTCACTGCAAGCTCCGCCTCCCGGGTTCACGCCATTCTCCTGCCTCAGCCTCCCGAGTAGCTGGAACTACAGGCGTCCACCACCATGCCCGGCTAATTTTTTTTTGTATTTTAATAGAGACGTGGTTTCACTGTGTTAGCCAGGATGGTCTCGATCTCCTGACCTCGTGATCCACCTGTCTTGGCCTCCCAAAGTGCTGGGATTACAGGCGTGAGCCACCGTGCCCGGCCTTTGTATCAGTTCTTAATTCAATTATTCATATAGTCACCACAAACACCACCATCACCAAGAAAGAAAGCAAACATTAAGGCTGGCGTGGTGGCTCATGCCTGTAATCCCAGCACTTTGGGAGGCTGAGATGGGCAGATTGCTTGAGGCCAGGAGTTCGAGACCAGCCTGGCCAACATGGCAAAACCTCTCTTTACTAAAAATACAAAAATTAGCTAGGCATGGTTGCGCACACCTGTAGTCCCAGCTGCTCAGGAGGCTGAGGCAGGAGAATTGCTTGAACCCAGGAGGTGGAGGTTGCAGGTAGCCGAGATTGCACTACTGCTCTCCAGCCTGGGTGACAGAGTGAGACTGTCTTCCCCCTTCACCCCCCAGCCAAAAAAGGGCAAACATTAGATAGGACAGTGTGACAGCTTTTTTATATTGTCAAGTCTTACAATATTCAATTCACCACAACTCTTGCTAGTCCACTCCCTTCCAAATAAAGATACTATACTATCATCTCAGATCTTTTCACTTGAGCCTCTAAACTTAGAACCTGAGCTTTACGTAGAGAAAATATCAGTAATTCCCAGGGCAGCTGGAACTCATGTACTACAACACTCCTGCCTACTCCAGGGTTAAAGCCCAACAGCAACATAGCTAAGAACTGTGGGGGACAAGAGTGACTTTATTTTAAATGCTAATCCAATGTGACTTCTGCCTATTCACTTTAAGTTTGGCCTCTCCTCCAAAACAGCGCTTCATACTATTGTATACATTATAGGCTGTGATGTCTGTAGCATTCTCTCAGCCACCTGCACATTCATTCTAGAGCACATATACTTTCCCCAAGAAAATGTATACATACTCAAGCCGTGGGTATGAGGGGTTACACTGCAGAGATCTACATCTTACAGTCATCAAAGACCAGACTTATGTCTGTAAATTCCCCCCCATCAGTCACCCAATACCAGCAAACTCCATTTATCTGCCTCATTCCTTGGTTTCTCAGCTCCTCTGACATTTGGGGGGTTGCTTTGCATATATGGCCGCCTTGCACAGAACAAGAACGAAGCATCAAGAAACAGCACATTTACAGGCTGGGCACGGTGGCTCATGTCTGTAATCCCAGCACTTTGGGAGGCCAGGGCGGGCGGATCATGACGTTAGGAGATCGAGACCATCCTGGCTAACACGGTGAAACCCTGTCTCTACTAAAAATACAAAAAATTAGCCAGGCATGGTGGCACGTGCCTGTAGTCCCAGCTACTCAGGAGGCTGAGGCAGGAGAATGGCGTGAACCCGGGAGGCGGAGCTTGCAATGAGCCACTGCACACCCCCTGGGTGACACAGCGAGACTCTGTCTCAAAAAAAAAAAGTATCCTCCAAAGTTAGAACACAACTTTAAAAAGCCCTAAAAAGATAGGAGAAGAAACTCAAAGCAGAAGGCTACTCCTGGCATAGAAGTCTTGCAGAAGAATCCTATAGAAAAAGGAGAGGCCCCAAAGGAGCAGGCAAGAGATGTCAGCGATGACATTAAGACGATGCATTAAAAACAACTGGGGGCTGGGCGCAACTGCTCACACCTGTAATCTCAGCACTTTGGGAGGCCGGGTGAGTGCATCATCTAAGGAGTTTGAGACCAGCCTGGCCAATATGGTGACCTCATTTCTACTAAAAGTACAAAAATTAGCTGGGTGTTGTGGTGGGCACCTGTAATCCCAGCTGCTCAGGAGGCTGAGGCATGAGAATCACTTGACCCGAGAGGCGGAGGTTGCAGTGAGCCGAGATTGCACCACTGCACTCCAGCCTGGGCAACAGAGCAAGACCCTGTCTCAAAAAACCAAAACCAAATAAAAATACAAAAAATTAGCCAGGCATGGTGGTGTGTGCCTGCAATCCCAACTACTCGGGAGACTAAAGCAGGAGAATTGCTTGCTTGAACCCAGGAGGCAGATTGCAGTGAGCTGAGACGGCACCATTGCCCTCTAGCCTGGGCGACAGTGTGAGACTCCCTCTAAAAAAAACACACACACACACACCAAAAAACTAGGTAAATGTGATAACGGTATAGTTGACGCTACTATGTTTATGCTGCCATATAGAATGCTTGTGTTTATAGGAAAAGGGCAAATGCCATTAAGAGAAAGTTTCAAAAGTGGGATCAAATTGAAGTGAACCAAAAAGTAGCTTTTGAGTGTACTCCTTTTGGGCACAAATAATTTCACCAACAACTGGATGCACATCAGCCACACTAACACAAAATGCCTTGTGTTAGGGGTGGCTGTAGTCTTTGAGTATATTCTACATCCTCATCTACTTCCTGACCCATTGTTACCTAAAATGCAGAGTTTGGGACTTAACCATTCCAAATACGGTGGAGATTGCATATATACATATCAAATTAAATCTGTGTACTTTCCTTCAGAAAGACCGATAGTAGTATCCACCCTGACTTCGAACTTTCATGCACAAAGTGGCAAATAGACTCCATTGATTTAGTGACTTTTTATTTTAGGTATTCCATGAAGGAGAATTTGAAAGTGCGATCTCTTAAGAAATGCTGCCCAAGTCCTGCTTGAATTACTATGAACTATTGATAGAAAAGACTTTGATAAAGTTATATGCAGTTTAGAAAAAAAAACTAATGATAATACTGACCTCAAGTTGTCTCAGATAAGCATAAATATCTTTCACATATTCACTACAAAGGTTTGGATCGGCTCCATCTTCTGCATCCACATCATTTACTGCAAGAATTACATCAGAGAAAGCCTGACACAGGTCTTCTTCTGCAGGGGCACATCCAGATGTTTCCATTGGGCTTGAAGAGGGAGTATCAACCTTAAAACAAAGAGATCTCTTGAAACAAGAGCAAATAGGAGTAAGCACTATAGTTTGGGCTTGAAGGTCAGGTTATTGGTACCAACTCAAGATAGTATTCTCCTGAATCAACATACAATTCATTTCCTTAAAGGAAAAGTATCTTTTCAGACTTATTCCAGTTCTTTTTAGGAAGTGATTAACATCCAAAGTGATCATTTGGGTTGGGCGTGGTGGCTCACACCTTTAATCTCAGCACTTTGAGAGGCTGAGGTTGAGGCCAGGAGATCAAGACAAGCCTTGGCAATATAGCAAGACCCTGTCTTTGTTAAAAAAGAAAGTGATCATTTAATTACTCAATTAAAAAGAATGAGGTCGGGCATGGTGGCTCAAGCCTGTAATCGCAGTACTTTGGGTGGCTGAGGTGGGAGGATCCTTTGAGACCATGAGTTCGAGACCAGCCTGGGCAATAATATAGCAATAACTCATCTCCACAAAAAAATTAGCTGGGCATGAAGGCAACTGCCTATAATCCTAGCTACTCAGGAGGCCAAGGTAGGAGGATCACTTGAGCCCAGCAGTTTGAGGATACAGTGAGCTATGATTGCACCATTCTGTTCCAGCCTGGGCAAAAAAAAGAGTGAAATGCCAACTCAGAGTGAGTCAGTTTAAAGTTGGAAGCAAATAAATTCACATTCTAGACTTTCCTGCAAAGGAAACTGAGAAGTAATTAATCTTTATCAGCAACATGTGAAGTTAATCCAAATAAAGGACAATTCAGTCTTTAGTCTTTATTTCAAAATACAAACTGCTTCTCACTACTCAAAATAACATAAATTCTATCCTGACTACTAAGGATTAACTTCATTACCATTAACCACTTCCTTCAAGCTCCCTTTATCCCATTGTTCAAACATTTATTGAGCCCCTTCTTCAAGTCAAACTCTATAAGGCATTGACTTCATGGCATCCTCAAGGGACTGTGAATTTAGTAGACAAAGTAAAGAAATAAGGTCAGACACAGTGGCTCACACTTGTAATCCCAGCACTTTGGGAGGCCCAGGTTGGCGGATCACGAGGTCAGGAGTTTGAGACCAGCCTGGCCAACCTGGTGAAACTCCCTCTCTACTAAAAATAGAAAAGAAAAAAAAAAAAAAATTAGCTGGGTGTGGTGGCGGGTGCCTGTAATCCCAACTACTCAGGAGGCTGAGGCAAGAGAACTGCTTGAATCTGGGAGGCGGAGGTTGCAATGAGCCAAGATCATGCCACTATACTCCAGCCTGGGTGACATGGCAAGACTGTCTCAGGAAAAAATAAATAAATACATAAAAATAAGACTGAGACTGGGCATGGTGGCTCATGTCTGTAATCCCAGCACTTTGGGAGACTGAGGCAGGTGGATCACGAGATCAGGAGTTTGAGACCAGCTTGGCCAACATAGTGAAACCCCATCTCTACTAAAAATAGAAAAATTAGCCAGGCATGGTGGCATGTGCCTGTAGTCCCAGCTACTTGGGAGGCTGAAGCAGGAGAATCGCTTGAACTCAGGAGGCAGAGGTTGCGGTGAGCTGAGATGGCGTCACTGCACTCCAGCCTGGGCAACAGAGTGAGACTGTCTCAAAACAAACAAAAAGACTGATTCTAGGAACAGGGGTGGAGATGGGGGAAGTTCAGGAAAGCTTCAGGAGTTGATGCTTGAGCTGTTTTCAAGGATGAAAAGGTTATTAGCTAAATGAAAGGGTGGGGAAGACATTCTTACTAAGTGGGAAAGCAAAGGTAAGAATCGGTATGGACCTTTCGAGAAAGCATCATGTAGTTTGATATGCCCAAAGACCATGCTGGCTACATGTTTCATGTGCTATGCCCAGAAATTCAACACTAAAGCAATAGTTTTCAATGTCTTATCCTTAGATATAAGAAGCTTAACTGGCTGGGCGTGGTGGCTCACGCCTGTAATCCCAGCACTTTGGGAGGCCGACGTAGGCAGATCACAAGGTCAGGAGTTCAAGACCAGCCTGGCCAACATAGTGAAACCTCATCTATACTAAAAATAAGAAAATTAGCTGGGCGTGGTGTTGTGCACCTGTAATCCCAGCTACTAGGGAGGCTGAGGCAGGAAAATTGCTTGAACCTGGGAGGCGGAGGTTGCAGTGAGCCGAGATCACACCACTGCACTCCAGCCTGGGCAACAGAGCCAGACTCTGTCTCAAAAAATTTTTTTTCAGGTAATTTTCCCAACTGGTTTTAACTAAGTTTAAAAAACTAAGCTTCAGAATGCAGTTCATTGCAGTTTCATCGAAGCAGCCTCCTCTACATGACCTACCTTTCCTTCACAGGGAGGTCTATCAGGATACATTTACAAATACCTTTTATTTAATAAAAAGTTACTGGTTTTGAGGCTAAGTGTTAATTCATCTTCTTAACCACTCCCTGAAAAGTTGCATTCTTCCTGTTTTACTCCTTTGCATTTTCCAATGTTACAGGTTTATTATTTAATAGCCATATTAGGCAGTAAAAAATTTCAAGAGAACATAGAGGTGGCTTGTACTTGGACAAGAAAGCCTTTGGCTCAGGCAGCTACTACTTAATATCATTAACGAAGATTCCTTATATATAAGGAACCTTATATATAAGACAGTTAACAATTAAAAGCATAGATTCTGAAGCCAGACAGCCTGAGCTTGAATCTCATATGGGCCACTTACCTGTGTGATCCTGACATAACCTCTCTAAAGCCATGATTTAAATAGTAGAGGTGACAATACCTACCTCAGAGTACCTGTAAAGATTATGTGAGTTAATGCATGTAAAATGTTAGGCAGAGATTGCCTCATGCTAGGCACTCAATAAATGGTATTTATTTGAATGCTCTTGCAGTGAAATAAGGGACAAGAAATAATCAACAGACTCTACAATGGTAAGAATAAGTTTACCAAAATAGGCTCAGGCGAAACTTTTTCTTCTTTAACAGGCTCAGGTTCTGGCTCTGGCACTGGCTTAGACACTGGCACTGGCACCAGCATAGGTACCTTTTCAAGAGGTTTTGGTAGTTTTTTATCAATAACTTTTCCAGTAGCTGAAGGTTTTGGTTCCTGTAGATGAAACAGAGAGAATGAAATGTTTCTGCATCAAAGGCCACAGTTGGAAGGCCGGCTCTTACAGAAGTTAGGTCGGGAAGACAGTTACCTTCTTCATAGGCATTTTGGCCTGCAGTTGTTCACTGACTTTGTTACCAATGTCCCCAAGAGCTGTTCTTGGCCTCAATCCGGGCTTGGAGGTTGCAGCAGGGGCCGTAGGAACGCGCTTTGCGCCTGCCATGCTGATCTTCGCCTTATTTTCAGCATTAATTTTCGAGTTCTGAAAGAAACAAGACCACTTTAAGAGCTGGTCCACGGAGGCTCGAGTAAGTCAAGGGTTAATTAAGGTGGGGCACAAGAGAAGTTCCCAGAAGGAAAGCAGAGGAAAAATGGGTTCCGAGGGAAAACGTGGGTCCCAGAGTCCACTCTGCGGCCGTGACAAGTCAGTTTCCGCCGACAACCTCTACATTTACCAATTGAGGGATTCCCTGATTAGTCCTGGCCAGCCCTAAAATACCGAGAATTTACGTTTGAAAGGAAACCGAAAAAGCCTCCAATTGCAGACACCTTCTCTCTGGGAAGGGGGTTACAGAGCTGCTGGCGGGCCCACTCAGGGACCCTCTATCACTTTTTCAAAAGGTTCCCAGTCAACTTTCCACCTCCCCCAAACATTTATCCAATATCGGTCCAGTTCTCTTTCTCACCTTCTTCCCTCCATCCATCGTCCCCCACACTCCCCCACCAGGCCTGGGCCCACCTCGACGCTCTCTTGGTGACTTCCCTCCCACCTTCCTCCCCAAATCGTTCCTGCGGCCCTCTCCCGCTCGGGGGGCTCCCGCAGGCGAGGCAGGGCGAGCAGGCGGCAGCGAAGAAGGCCGCGTCAGTTCGCAGTCCGTAGCGGCTCACCCTGGTGACTCGGAGCGCCATGGCTTCCTCTTCACCAGGCAGCAGCTCAGCGGGGAGAAGCAGAACACCGGAGCCCCGACCAGCCGAGGACCTGCACCCAGCAGAGACCAACAGCCGTTCCTCCGCAGCACGCCGGGAAGAACAGGCCCAGCCTCAGGTTTAAACCCCGCACTGCTCCCTCCTTATTGGCCTGTTCGTGGCACTCACTCCCTTCCCATTGGCGGCTGCCTGTCCCGGAGAATGCGTTTCCAGGGCGATCCCGCGAAGGCGTTCGAGAGGGGCGGGACCAGAGTGAGGCTAGGTCGGAAGGCGTGGCCAGGCTCTCACGTGGTCTGCCTCCGCGCCTGCACTCTCGGGCAGCTGCCGGGGCCACCTGGAGAGCCGAGCAGCGCGAGCACAGTCTACCTGGAAAGGTGAGCCGGGCAAGAGTGTGCGCTGCCAATGCCAGCTCAGGAAAGGCCTGGTGACCTTTGGAAGGTGACAGTGGCGCGGCCACAGTCTCAGAAGTGTCAAAAGTAGTTTTGGATCTAGTCCAAATTATTGTTGTACACTTTCCAGTTCTACAGTAGCAGCAATAATATAGTTCATGAAAGGCTTTGATATACTTTCTTTCATTTGATGGTTGCAACAACTCTCTGGGGTGGAGGAACTGGAGCTCAGCGGCTTAGATGACTTTGCCAGGATCACACATTAGCAACGGGGGAACAGAATTTAGGGTTTTTTTTTGATGGGGAGGGAGGGGGCGTATTCGTGTTGTTTTCACAATTCTGATTGTCCCTTAACAATATTACTTGATTACTTCAAGATTGGCCAGTTTCCCAAGGCCAATTGTTTTGTTTGTTTTAGCTTCCTATTTGGAAATAATTTCATACTTGGACCAGTTGCCAACAAAAATCTTGTAAGGAACATTTCTGTACCCTTTACCCAGATTCAACTATCCTTAACATGTATTTGCCTCTCATAGGAAGATCAAGAAAAACTAAACAAAAAGACACTTTACACCATTTGCTTTATTTGCTCAATCTCTCTCTGGATCCAAAGAAAAACAAGAGGGTTCTTTTTGCCTTCTACTCCTCAAAACACACCAGGAGCTCAGCAATTGGAGGGGAGGCTGAAGGACAAAAACATTAATACCTCATAGAGCAACGGTATAAGAGCCAATAGAGACTGCTGGCCCTGGAAGTCAAGGATCCGAAAGAAGGCGCCCAATCATTTGGTTTCATTCGATCGTTTTTCAGTCTTCTACCATCATAGTTCCACCCTCCTACTCGGATGCCTACCGTGGGGCCCTTACCATTGCTCTCCTCTGCAGGAATGCCCGCCTCTTCTTGCACTCAAGCCCCTGTTCTATTCAGGTAATTCCCATTCATCCTTCAGTTCTGTGTTCAGCATCCATCCTCAGTCTTGCTGAGTTTGATCAATCTTGCCTCGCCCCATGCAGGGGCGAGAGGCAAGGGGTGAGGCAGGATTACTTATCCTCTGTGTTCCAGTTTAAAAAATTTTTTTTTTTACTTTTTTTTTTTTTTTTTTTTTTTTGAGACGGAGCCTGTATCTGTCGCCCAGGCTGGAGTGCAGTGGTGCGATCTTGACTCACTGCAACCTCCGCCTCCCGGGTTCACTCCATTCTCCTGCCTAGTAGCTGGGACTACAGGCGCCTGCCACAACGCCCGGCTAATTTTTTGTGTTTTTGGTAGAGACGGGGTTTCACCGGGTTAGCCAGGATGGTCTCGATCTCCTGATCTCGTGATCCGCCTGCCTCGGCCTCCCAAAGTGCTGGGATTACAGGCGTGAGCCACTGCGCCTGGCCGAGTGGACATAAGTTTTAAACTCATTTGGGTGAATACCAAGGAGCAAGACTATATCATATAGTAAGAGTATGGTTACTTTTGTAAGAAACCGCCAAACTGTCTTCCAAAGCTGCTGTACCATTTTGCATTTCCATCAGCAATCCTCACAAGCATTTGGTGTTGCCAGTTTTTTAAAAAATTTGTAGCCATCCTAATAGGTATGTAGTGGTAACTCATTGTTTTTTGATTTGCAATTCTCTAATGACATATGATGTTGAGTATCTTTTTCTGTGATTATCATCTGTATAACTTCTTTGGTGAGGTATCTGTTCAGGTATTTTGCCTAGTTTTTGCTTTGTTTTGTTTTGTTTTTTGAGATAGGGTCTCACTCTGTTACCCAGGCTGGAATGCACTGGTGTGATCATAGCTCACTGTAACCTCAAACTCCTGAGCTCAGGCAATTCTGCCTCAGCTTCCCAAGTAGCTAGGACTATAGGTGTGAGCCACCATGCCCAGCTAATTTTTTTATTTTTTACTTTTTGTAGAGATGGGATCTCACTATGTTTCCAAGGCTCATCTCAAACTCTTGGTCTCACAAAGCACTGGGAATATATATACACACATGTATATATGTGTGTGTATATATGTATATATGTGTGTGTGTGCATGTGTGTGTGTGTGTGTATATATATACATTTTTTTTTTTTTTGAGACGGAGTCTCACTCTGTTGCCCAAGCTAGAGTGCAGTGGCTCGATCTCGGCTCACTGCAACCTCTGCCTCCGAGGTTCAAGTGATTCTCCTGCCTCAGCCTCCCAAGTAACTGGGACTACAGGTGCCTGCCACCACACCCGGCTAATTTTTGTATTTTTAGTAGAGACAGGGTTTCATCATATTGGCCAGGCTGGTCTCGAACTCCTGACCTTGTGATCTACCTGCCTCGGCCTCCCAAAGTGCTGGGATTACAGGCGTGAGCCACCACACCTGGTTGCACTGGGAATATCAAAGGCATGAGCCACCTCGCCCAGCCTTTGCCCAGTTTTATTTTTGTTTTGACACAGAGTCTCTATTACCCAGCCAGGGTGCAGGGGCACAAACATGGCTTACTGCAATCTTAACCTCTGGGTTCACCAGAGCCACTGCACCTGGCCTCAGACTAATATTCTTCTTTTTATTTATTTTTTGTTTTGTTTTTTCTTTTTTTCTTCTTTTGTTGTTTTTATTTTTTTGCAGGGGTGTACTAATATTCTTAATGGTACATTTTGTCATGTTTATTTTTAATTTTTATGCATACATAATGGTTGTACATATTTATGGGGTACATGTTATATTTTGATACAAGCTTGCAATGTGTAATGATCAAATCAGAGTAATTGGGATATTTATCTCCTCAAACATTTATCATTTATTTGTGTTGGAAACATTCCAACTCCACTCTTCTAGTTATTCTGAAATATACAGACTGGGTGCGGTGGTTCATGCCTGTAATCCCAGCACTTTGGGAGGCCAAAGCAGGAGTATCATTTGAGCCCAGGCGTCCAAGATCAGCCTGGGCAACCTGGCAAACCCCATCTCTACAAAAAATACAAAAATTAGCTGGGATTGGTGGTGTGTACCTGCAATCCTAGTTACTCAGGAGGCTGAGGTGGGAGGATTGCTTGAGTCTGGGAGGTTGAGGCCGCAGTAAGTGGAGATCATACCACTGCACTCCAACCAGGGTGACAGAGCAAGACCTTGTCTCAAAAAAAAAATTAAAGAAAGGCCGAGCGTGGTGGCTCATGCCTTTAATCCCAGCACTTTGGGAGGCCAAGGTGGGAGGATTGCTTGAGCTCAGGAGTTTGAGACCAGCCTGGCCAACATGGTGAAACCCTATCTCTACAAAATACACAAAAATTAGCCAGGCATGGTGGCACAAACCTGTAATTCCTGCTGCTCGGGAGGCTGAGGCAGGAGAATCACTTGAACCTGGGAGGCGGAGGTTGCAGTGAGCTGAGATTGCGCCAGTGCACTCCAGCCTGGGTGACAGAGCAGACTCTGTCTCAAAAAAAAGAAAAAAAAAAAGGAACTATATACAATAAATTATTGTTAACTATAGCCACCCTAGGCCAGATCTAGGCTACTGAATTCTAGATCTTATTCCTTCTATCTAATTGTATTTTTGTACCCATTCACTGTGATCTTTTTTTTAAAGTTTTTAATTTTTTTTTATTATACTTCAAGTTCTAGGGTACGTGTGCATAATGTGTAGGTTTGTTACATAGGTATACATGTGCCATGTTGGTTTGCTGCACCCATCAACTCGTCATTTACATTAGGTATTTTTCCTAATGCTATCCTTCCTCCAGCCTGCTACCCCTCTGACAGGCCCCGGTGTGTGATGTTCCCCTCCCTGTGTCCATGTGTTCTCATTGTTCAGTTCCCACCTATGAGTGAGACTGTGCAGTGTTTGGTTTTCTGTCCTTATGATAGTTTGCTGAGAATGATGGTTTACAGCTTCATCCATGTCCCTGCAAAGGACATGAACTCATCCTTTTTTATGGCTGCATAATATTCCATGGTGAGTTTCGCTATTGCTGCCCAGACTGGAGTGCAATGGCAAGCGATTCTCCTGCCTCAGCCTCCCAACTAGCTGGAATTACAGCCATGCGCCACCACGCCTGGCTAGTTTTGTGTTTTTTTTAGAGACGGGGTTTCTCCATGTTGGTCAGGCTGGTCTCGAACTCCTGACCTCAGGTGATCTGCCCGCCTAGGCCTCCCAAAGTGCTGGGATTATAGGCGTGTGCCACTGCGCCCAGTGCCACATTTTCTTAATCCAGTCTGTCATTGGTGGACATTTGGGTTGGTTCCAAGTCTTTGCTATTGTGAATTCACTGTGATCTTTATTTCTCTTCTGACAAGTCTTTTTGATAGTCCTTTCCTCAAATTCAGGCTGTATATTTGGAATTATGAAATAATTAAGATGACTTTTACACCCTTTAAATGCCTTAGGGGTTTCCTGGGTTTCCATTGTATTTCAAGGAAACTACAAAGATTTGCTACTTCATCTTATAAGAGATAATAAAAATAATTAAATTTGCTTGGCATTTTCTAGATTTTAACTAATCCAAAACTTTTGTCAGAGCTATTTTATCTGCCAAACCCAGAATATTTTTTTTAAATGGACAATTCAAAAGCTCTATTTTGCTTTTCTCTTTTATTTATTTATTTATTTTTTAATAGAGATGGGGGTTCACTATATTGACCAGTCTGTTCTTGAACTCCTGGCCTCAAGTGATCCTCCCATTTTGGCCTACCAAAATGCTGGAGATTACGGGCATGAGCCACTGCACCCAGTTCTATTTTGCTATTTTTTTAGTGAAAATATAAGTTTGAGAGACATATTTATATTCATTTATAAAAGTTGACACATTCAGGAGATCGAGACCATCCTGGCTAACACGGTGAAACCACGTCTCTACTAAAAAATACAAAAAACTAGCCGGGCGAGGTGGTGGGCGCCTGTAGTCCCAGCTACTCGGGAGGCTGAGGCAGGAGAATGGCGTGAACCCGGGAGGCGGAGCTTGCAATGAGCTGAGATCTGGCCACCACACTCCAGCCTGGGCGACAGAGCGAGACTCCCTCTCAAAAAAAAAAAAAAAAAGTTGACACATTAACTATAGGTCAGGTGTGGTGGCTCAGGCCTGTAACCTCAGCACTTTGGGAGGCCGAGGTGGGCGGATCACCTGAGGTCAGGAGTTCGAAACCAGCCTGGCCAACATGGCAAGACCCTATCTACTAAAAATACAAAAAAATTAGCCTGGCGTTGTGGTGCACGCCTGTAGTTCCAGCTACTCAGGAGGCAGAGGTTGTCCAGTGAGTTGAGATCGCACCACTGCACTCCAGCCTGGGCGACAAAGCCAGGATCAGTATCAAAAAAAAAAAAAAAAAAAGCGGACACATTAACTATCAATTTTTTTTCCCCATCTCCTTGTTAAAAGGACCATCCGCGGGGGGCCAGGTGGCCCCAGTTATATGCAAGCACGTGCTCTGGCGCTGCTGCAGCCTGACCCCAGGCGCCACGCGGAGGCGCCGTGGTGTACAAAGGCAGCGTGTTTTTGGTTTTTTTTTTTTGAGACAGAGTTTCGCTCTGTCGCCCAGGCAGGAGTGCAGTGGCACGATCTCGGCTCACGGCAATCTCCACTTCCCGGGTTCAAGCGATTCTCTTGTCTCAGCCTCCAGAGTAGCTGGGATTACAGGCACACACACCACGCCCAGCTAATTTTTGTATTTTTAGTAGAGACGGGGTTTCACCATGTTGGCCAGGATGGTTTCGATCTCTTGACCTCATGATCCACCTGCCTTGGCCTCCCAAAGTGCTGGGATTACAGGTGGGAGCCACTGTGCCCGGTCAGTAATGTTACTATTAATGTAGGTCTTGACGAGAAGAAGGAATGAGGCCTCTGGAAGTGGTTTATATGCCATTTTGGGAATTTAATAATGTTGCTAGTCTCTCAGATGACCTAATGTTCTGTCAACCCTATGCCTGTTGAAATACAAATCTTCAATTAGCAATCAGACACAGTGGTTTCC